AGGGTGGACAGGCAGGTGAGCGTTCAGGATGGATCCAGGAGGACTAAGTGGAGAACTGGCTTGGAGACAGCAAAGCTGCTAAGAGAGTAGGAGGACAACCAGGTAAGCTTTAGTCTTTTAGCAAAATGTTCAGATTCAACTGAGCTAGCAGGTAGGTTACCACTATGTTAAATTTGAACCGACTTGGAATCCACTCCTTTAAATGCTGCTCCCTGATTGCGTCCCATTGGAACCAGCTGGAGGCTTGCCTGGGCTGCAGTCTCTGAGGATGAAAAAGTTAAAAAAAACCCTAACACAGCTTACCACACAATCCTGTGGACCCGTCAATAACAACTGCAATCAAGAACATTGTGCGTCATTCCTGCATTATAACTTTGAGTAACATTCATCAGGGCACACTTATTAATCAAAATTAAATGCAGCAGTAAACCAATAACAAAAAAGCACCGAATGTTATCTATTTGTATATCTACAAAACGCTTTGTTTTCCTAGTTTGAAGACGTTTTGCTTCCCATCTCTTCCCATCATCTCATTTCAAAATAAGCTTTCTAGAAAACAAAGTCCAGTGGTTTGTTTTTAACTTTTTTTGGAATATTTGTAAATTGTTAGATAAACATTTTAGCAGAAAATACAAGTGTCATTAAGCAGTCATATTTATTTTAACCATTTTGGTTTTCAAAATATCATATAATAAATGTTTCAAATGTTATATAGAAAAAAAAAAAAGACAATTTCACAGGGTGTCTTTATTTTTTCCCAAGTTATGGGGGAACGGAACATGTCACGTGGCTAAAATATATTGATACCCTCTCATAACTTAGCAAATAATGGTCAAATTTAAACAAAGGATTTGTTTTTGGTGGTGAGAGGAATAAACTCAGTTTAAGCCTTGCAGGTAAATGAATTTCTTCACATTTTACGGGAGGGGAACTGATTATTTCAGTCAGCTAAAGTTAATGGTTCCCCTCCTTTCATTATGGCAACTAAAGAGTAAATATTACCAAATCCACAGGATTTGCTGTTAATGAGGAAGGACAACTGATTATTTCAGGCAGCTGAAATATATGGTTCCCCTCCTTTAATTTTGGAAAATAATGATGAAGTGTCACCAAATCCACAGGGTTTGTTGTTAGTTGTGAGAGGAATAAGCAAAGTTCAAGACTTACAGGTAAGTGAATTTGTTCCTATTTTAACGAGGTGGAAACTGATTATTTTTCTGTGCCATGATCCATTCGTGTCTTTTTTGGAAGTCTATTATTGTCCCTCACAGCATCAGTGAAATAGCCAGCAGTAATGTGAGGGTCACTATTAGTCTTATATTAGGGTGACCTGATTTGGGTTTCTGAAAAGGAGGACACTTTTTTTATGCGGGGCTGCTGGGCCTGCCGGGCACGGAGGAACCAAACCCGACCCGGTGACAGTATGCTTCCCCCCGCCTGCCCCAAAATATACAAAGGCTTGAAATGGAATAAAAATGAGTTTATTCCAGGTTAAAATAGTAGAATACTTTGACAAAAATTGGAGTCAATGGGTCACATGACCTGGAAGCTATTGAAGAAATATTAATTTTTCTTGTAATAAAAAATTTTTAAAAAATGAACAAAGGATTTAAATTGAATAAAAATGAGTGTGTCTCATCAGGATAATGTAGTAAAACTATTTCACAAAGAATTTGAGTAAGTAGGTCACATGACCTGGAAGCTATTGAAGAAAAGTCCCAACTTCTGTCTTTAAAAATATCTTAAAAATTTAAAATGTCTTAAAATTGCATAAAAGCAAATGTGCCTTACATGTGTTTCCTATTGGCATGGTTTTACATTAGTTTTGTCTTAGCTGGTAATATGATAAAGGATTTAATGATTTTTGTTTCTCAAGAGTGCTTGGTTCAAAGATTTGTTGACGGTCCCTAACTGCACCACCGCGTCTGGGACGAGGGAGCAGCTTAGAGACGCTGGCCGACATCGGAGTCCCTCAGTCGGATCAAGCATTTGCTAGATCCCGCTGACTCCGCAGAGCTTGAACACCCAATATCCAACTTCAAACTAACTCATTTTATGGAGGGCGGTACTGATTATTTCAGGCAGGTCAAAATAGATGGTTCCCCTTTTTTTTGGAATATAAAGAGTAAATGCACATGGTTTTTTGTTGGTGGTGAGAGGAATAAATACAGATAAAGACTTGCAAGCAAATAAATGTGTTCCCATTTTATGAAGGGGGAACTGATTATTTCAGGCAGGTCAAAATAGATGGTTCCCCTCCTTTAATTTTGGCATTTTTAAAGAGTAAATATAACCAAATTCACAGGGTTTGTTGTTGATGAACAGAGGAATAAACACAGTTAAAGATTTGCAGGTAAATTAATCTGTTCCCATTTAATGGTGGGGGCAATGATTAATGCAGATAGCTAAAATATATGCCTATAGGACCAGTTTGATAGAACACTATTTCATACTATATATATAATTAGGGGGTCCTCGCTCCATCTCCCCATCAGTTTGGGGGTCCTTGGCCTGGAAAACTTTGAAGACCCCTGGTTTAACCAAAAGCCCTTTTCTCCACATAATGTCATGTTTAGTGGATATTTGTTAAGGACCTAAATGCAGAGTTGAAGAGGCAGAGATGATTTCTAGGTAAATTTAATGAAGAAATAAAATTAAAGAAGCCCTAATCCAGAACCAATCGACAGGAAACTCAGGAACTAAAAACTAGGAGACGCTAGTAAGAAATAAACCTAAGGAATGACAGAATGAAGAGAATGCAGCAGCGGGGGGCTGTTCATGTTGCTGCAGTCTGACCTTAGAAGTCACTGAAAATTACTGTAGTTGAACTGGATGAATCAAAGCACCTCGTAGTGTTCTAATGTTACCACTAGAGAGTGGTGTTTCATCATTTATAAATTATTGTAAATCTTTCAGTTGCTTCATATGCCACAAGTACAGGATTTAAACTAATTTAATCAGTAATATTTAAAAAAAAATCAAATATTGTTGCAAATTGTGTTAGTTGCACATCCTGGATGCAAATCTTCTGCCTCCAGTCTTCCCAAAGTGGCTAGGACAAAAGGAAACTTATTTTCATGACCAAATGGTTGGAGATTTGTGTCGCCGCGTTGCTCCATCATTGTCAGTGTGGCGGGATGGATTGCTTCTTTCATGTGGCTTACTCTAAGTTTTAAACAAGCTGTTTCCTTTCAGGCATCTTAAACCAGTCAGTCCCATTTTAAATCCACCCAAAAGAAATAGCAGGGAATTGTTTTCTGCAAATGACAGCATTCTTGTGTTGTCTGCGACTGAAGCAATGAGTCGAAGTATCGTCTGTCAAAGAAAACATCCAGGTCTAAAGAATCTAAAACCTCCCACATCCCTGTTGATAAATGTTTTATGGTTAATATTTTTTCTTTATTTCAAAAGGCATGTCTGCCACAGCAGCAGCTGTGTGCACCACCAGATGAATATAAAACACGGTGGTGGCAGTATCATGCCCTGAGCTGTCCCTTCTGAACTAAAGCCTTACAGAAACTTGGCTGCAGCAAGAAAATTACGTGATAATAAATGAGGCAACCCCTCAATTTATTTATTTTTTTCTAATAAAGCTTATAGATTGGTTCAGGTTATCCTGATCTATCTCTATAGTTATGCTGCTATAGGCTTAGACTGCTGGAGGACATAGGGACCCCCATTTCATCATTCAGCTTCCTTCTGTCTCTATTCTTCCATTCTGCAGTATTTGTTAGTTCAATCTCTAACGTTATCAGCTGTGCTGCTGCCATCAACACCTTTCTTTACAGATGTTGGAGCTTGGCCTGTTTTTCAGTGTAGTCTTGTTTCTCTGACTTTGACCAACTGGATGTGCTCTCTTTCATGCTCTGACATGTGAGCTGTTTTTCCCGGACGGGGCCGCCTGTGGAGCTGATTTACAGTTGCCTTTTTTATCTCTGCTTTTTTTTTGCATATCTTAATGCAATTAACTGTCTTTCCTTAAATAGAAAACTAACCAATCTGTATGATCTGGTTGAATTGTCTCTGTAATGTGCCTTAAGATGACACGTGTTGATAATTAGCATTATATAAATAAACTGAATAGAACAGGTGTCTTCTAAACAGGGGTTCACCAAAAGGTTAACAACATATACATTTTAAATATCAAAAAATTAAATTATAAAATTAAAAATTCAGTAATTGAATGTCTCATTAAGTAATAAAACTTTTTCAATGATGAATCAAATAAAATGTCACAAAAAAAAGAACATAATTACTGTATATGTATAAATAAATATAGAGTACTGTAGCTAAGAATCTATTTTTAGGGGGTCATCGGTCTGTCACCTTATTTTTGGGGTCACAGGCCAAAACTTTTGGGAACGGATGTTCTAGAAAGACATTTGGTGAAAAAGCCTCATTAAATCTTAGCTGTGTTCATTTTAAGATTCCCTGCTGTAGGGATGTCTGGTCCGATACTGATGATTATTGGTTACATCAAATTCTCCCATAAGCTGACAGATGCACTCTGCTCCTTCCTTTCAAACTAGAGGTGCTTCTATAAAACACTCAGGGCCAACATGATCACAGCATCTTCTGCTAACAGAGTAGCTGAGGCTATGCTACAGCAGTAGGAGCTATGTCTGCAATGTGGCCGTACGCTTGGTTAATGTCCATAGAAAACCTCTTTCTCATCTTCTAATGACCATTTCTACCTTAAACTTTATGTTACTCATCAGTTCATAATAGATGAATCAGTTCTATTTTCATTTGTTCTTGATTTTTGTTCCCTGTTTGATTTAAATTACTTGACATTCAAAACCACTGAATAAAAGTATGCAGCATTTAAACTGACATTGGTGAATATTCACAGCTGCAATGTTGGTACATAGGGCATCGGAAAGGAAGAAGTTGTTTTGGGACATCCCTACACAAAGGTAAATAGAACCTCCAACGTAATCACACCAGTTAACTTTATTTTTCTTTTTTTTTAGGGTTAGTGAAGGGAAGACACCATCTGTAGAACACATAAAACATTTATATAAGAGCAAAGTGATCTGGTTCTTCACAGGTTCTAAACAATTTCAACCAAACCCCAACATGTCAGGATTTAAAGCAAAGAATTTAAACAGGTTCTATTTAGCATGATGTTTAAACTGAGTCAGAAATCCGATAAAAGAAGCAGATATTTTTTCAACAATTGAGCAGGAAATTCTGAAATATTTGTCAAAACTGTATATTAATGTTGCCCTTTTAGGTTTAACTTGACTGGGTGCAAAAAGGAGCTTTAGATGTGTCCAGTAAATTCAACTTTATTGTTTTATACAAAGAAACTATCCCTTAATTCACAGAAACAACAGTAAAGAACAATCCCAAGAGCTTCAACAGCAAATGAATTAAACAGATGGCCATAATCATGCTTTATTATTCTATGATAAACATAAGAAATAAGTTAACAATTGTTTAATTTTCTTGTTTTTTAATATTTACTTTCTTTCAGGGAAGCATGATGATAAAAAACAACATTTAAACATATATTTTTTTCTAACGGCTTCCTTATTTGACATGGTTAATTTTTTACCCTTTTTTTTCTCAAAAATTAAAACTGGTTCTAAAAGTGGTTCTCCTGATGTCAGAATCATTCGGTTCCCATGCTTTGAACAGCTCCTGCAGCATCCTGGCATCTTCCAAAGCATTGTGAGCATCGTAGGGCTTCCCAACAAAGTATTCGACTAAACACTCCTGAGAATATCGGTCGTGGTACGGGTAAAGGTTTTTGCTCAGTAGGAAGGTGTCCAGGAAGCCTGACACCACCTGCTGGAACTCCTGAAACAGGGAACACTTCCGCAGCACTCTGAGGAGCACAGGCGCATCGAAACGCTTTGCATTGTGGGCCGCTAGCAACACGGGGCGACGGAAGGAGCGCAGAAAGGCGATGAATGAGGTGAGGAGCTGCTGCAGAGGGATGGTTTCCACAGGGTTCCCTCGCAGAAACAGGCCGTCATCATTTACTGTGAAGCCTGTGACCTGGATGGCGCTCGGGGTCAGCGAGCAGCAAGGGAGAGTGTAGTTGTTGAAGAACTTTTTCTCACAAACTGCGGCCACTTGGATGATATCACACACTGAAGTATCTGAAGGAAGATAAAGGTTTTTTATATATATATATATATATATATATATATATATATATATATATATATATATATATATATATATATATATATACATATACATATACAGAGAGAGAAAGAGATACCATGGACTCTATTTAGTGGTCCAATGTTTCAATTACAACAAACACTATTAAATTTCATACATATACTCATTTACAACAACCCAAAAAAGAAAAGAAAAGACATGTCCACCCCCTCATAAACTGAGAATAAGTATTTTATTATTTACATGACATAAAACATTTCCACCTCCCCAAACAGACATAAACTCATTCAGATCTGACACCGTTATATAAAACTCTGTCCTAATACGTGCCGCCAGCAGGCCTCTGAACATCAGTTCAACATCTGCTGAGCCTGCCCCCTTCATTTTATTTCTCCTGCTGAGCCAAATGCTCATCTTTGCCTGACCAAACAGAAAATGTAGCGTTTCCTCAGCCTGATTGGTCTGACTCCCTGATCTGTGATCAATACGTGCCACATATCTGTTCGTAAAAACTGGTAAAAACTGGAAGTCTGTGTTGCATCCAAACCATCCAGCTTCAAGAGAAACAGGTGCTTTCAGTCCAGGTTTTCTGCGCTGAGTAAAGGAAACGTTGTGCCGTCTGAACCCCAGTCGGCCTCAGCAGATGGCCGCTCACACTGAGCCTGGTTCTGCTGGAGGTTCCTTCCTGTTAAAAGGGACTTTTTCCTCTCCACTGTCGCTACAAGCATGCTTAGTGTGAGGGATTGTATTTGAGTCAATCAGTCGATGCAATCAACTGGTTTTCCTTAGATAGAAAACTGAATCAATTTAACTGGATGAAGTGCCTTCAGATGATGTGTGCTGTGAATTGGCGCTATGTAAATAAACTGAATTAAAGCTGAAACGCGGTTATGCGACTCCTAAGGTCAATCAGCCCCTGACCCCTTCTGACACAGGTACAAACAGCACTGCCAATTGAATCCATCCCAGAAAAAATCCACCAGTCTCTTCTGTATCTCTTTAATGACTTTGTCTGGAGGAACTAGAACCGTGGCATGGTGCTAGAGCATAGATGCAACCATATTGTTGGAAACCAAAGTTCTCCCCCTGTAGGACAACTGGGGCTGGTCCCATTTCCATCTAGACACTCTGGCACTATTTCTTTCCAGCTAGACCCTCCCAGTTTTTCACCAGAAAGTTGTGATTTGCCAGAAACACTCCTTAGACCTTTATTCCTTGTGTGCTCCACTGCAGCGTGGCTGGTAGGGTTGGCTGCTCTTTATTGCTCCACTGTCCCAATAAAAGTCCCTCCCATTTTGACCAGTTGACCTTAGCAGAAGAAGCTTGTTTGTATAATTTTAATTTCTGCTCAAGAAGCTGAATATTGTTTTGACAGCATATATATAACTGTAATGTCATCAGCATATGCCGACAAACTAATTATATTGTTTGTGTTGTCTGTCAGGTTTAACCCTAAAGACTCTGCCTGAGTTTATACAAGAGAGGCTCAATAGCTAAAGCGTACAGCATCCCAGATAGAGGACATCCCCGCCTGATTCCTCTCTGAACAGATACTGGTCTGCTAAGCCCCCCTCCTACCTTTAACAGTACTGTAGCTCTTAAATATATCAATTCTATCCATGAAATTATTTTTTTCTCCAAAACCAAACGCTTTAAGTGTTTTAAACAAATTATTATGATCAACTCGATCAAAGGCCTTTTCTTGCTCTAGAGAAAACAAACCAACATCAAGTTCCTGTAATTGAGATAATCAACAATGTCTCTAAGCAAAAACAAATGATCCATTATTGTCCTTTCAGGGACCCAGTATTTCTGACTGACGTGTACGATTGTCTCCATTCATGCTTTAAGTCGATTCGCCAAAACTTTTGCCAGAATTTTATTTCTGTGCAGAGTAATGAAACAGGCGGCCAGTTCTGTTTCAGTTCTTTCTTTGGTAGCAAAGTCAGGACTGCCCTGCTGGCTGCTGCAGCTTGTTGGTAATGTCCCAGAGTCCAAACATCCATGAAAAACATCCATTAAATCTTTTCCAAGTAAATACAAAAAAGTTAATCAGCGCCTGGAGACTGACCACAGCTGAGCTGATTCACCGCTGCAGACAGTTCTTTGAAATTAATGACAGACTCCAGTGAGGCCGAAGATGCTTCTCCTAAGCGAGGGAGTCCTTACAGCATCTCATCCAAACAATCAGTCACAATCATCAGCACTGAAAAGGCTGCTGTAGAAGTCTATGGCCGCCTTCCTCATCTCTGAGGGGTCAAAGGTCACAGCTCTATTGGAGTTCCTGGGGTGCATCATCCGGCTCTGTTTTCTCCGACTTAAAACTTAAAGAAACAAGTGGGTGCATCTATGTCTTTAATAGATAGGATTCTTGATTTAATTAGAGCACCTTTAGCTTTTTCATACAAAAACCTACCTAAAGATGCCCTCTTATTCTCCCAATTTGCATTATTATCATTATAATCGAACCCATTAAATATACCCTCTTCTAATAAACTCATTTCTTTCTTCAATAATTCAAAATGATCCATTTCTATTGCTTTTGTGTGTGATGTATACTGCTGACAAAATATTCTAATTTGTGTTTTCCCCACCTCCCACCATTGACTTATATTTTCAAATCCTGATTTTCTGCATCTCCAGAAATCAGAGAAAGACAGACACAAAGTCTTGTCATCAATCAATTTGACATTAAAAAGCCAGTAAGAAGATCTTTGGGAATGCACCATTAAATAAGAATGAAAAGTTATTGATGATCTGAAAAACCAACAGCTGCAGATAACCTATAGTAAAAAGTGACAGAGCCTGTCCAGTCTGGCTGCACTAACCCTGCCCTCAGTGACTTTCACCCAAATAGTAGACAGTATACTTTTGGATAAAAGAGAAGCAGATGATAGATCTCCTATTCCTATCAACGGAATAATTTGTAATTTTTTTGAAAGTATATTTATATATATATATACATATATTCTGGAAAGTTAGTTCTCCAAATGCTGCCTGTGCTGTTGGGATGGTTTTGAAAGCACACACCGCGTCATGCTTCCCCAACACACACACACAGACACTACTAACTAGTCCTGGTTTCATCCTGGCTGTTGCTCAAAGGCAGTACGCCTCTCTGAACCCGCCATTGTGTCAAAACATGGATCAGCTGACCCCACTGAGTCAGTCTGTGGAAGAACATCAGGAACAAGAGGCTGTTTTAGGAAGCTCTTCAGACTCCCTGCTAATATGCTAATCATAAACAAAGCACTCACATGTGGGTGACTCACAAAGCCCCTGGATCCTGTTACACTGGGATGTTTCTAAAGATTGTTTTGGTTAGCAACTGCTTGTGGAAACGGTTCGTCTTCCCACCATATTTCACAGGAGTCCCTACTCAGCAAGCAGGAACGTACTCTTTGACCTGGTGAGGATTATTTCTCATGACTCAGCCTGTATGTGTAAAACGGAGAGGCTTCTGACTCTTCCTCGTGCTCCACCCTACTCTGCCCAAGCAACCAGATTTTTTGTGGTGGAGATCCAGAGGATTCCAACGTCCAACTGGGCGTGATCAGAGTAAACAGAAACTGACTGTACCCTGTTCCTGCTTTATCAGACTCCACCTGGACTCATTAAGCCATCTGAATATTACACAACAGCACAATAAAAAGGGCCCAGGCTTCTTCCCAGCTCTTTAAACACCTCTACACTTTATCCTCCAGGGACAGAGGCCCATAAATCACTATCAATACAGCAGATGTGATGAGACTTGGTGTCTTGAATTGATTCCAATAATTCATTAAACGATCATGTTAAAAGCCTATTTATGTCCGGCACTCTACAGGAGATTAATAAAAGAGTATACAGAAATAGTTTTGGTATTCTTGTCTCCTTTTTCTTCCGTTTCTAGCATATTATTTGGGGTCTTTGCATTCAGTTTTATCATCAAAAACGTCATATATATTATAAACTGTTTATTGTTGTTTATTATCTAAAACTGCACTTGTTCTGGCTATGATCCCAATTTGGAAAGTTGATTTATGAAATAGTAATTTTGTTCCTTGTATGAAGCTAAATACTTCTGATCTTGTTCTTCTATATAAAAATATTTATTGGAATTGCATTAAAACCTTTATTTAAAGCAGAAGACTGGCAGAATACAGGAAGTCCCTTTAAACCACCGGTTTATAAAGGGGATATAGAATATTAATTTACAAGATAACAACCAAGAGTTGTAAAAACCTAAAATGAAAAGAAAAATACTAAACTTTAAAGCAGTAAAATCACTAAAACTTTCAAAACATAAAGTACTACTTGTGAATGCTGTAGGTATTATCTTTGATCCTGTTTTATTTTCTCATAACTTTAACACAAACAACAAAACGAATCAACAAAATAAACAAACTAAAATAGTTTATTTTTAAATAAACTCTTCATATTATCAATAACACATTTGTATAAAGTTACTTACTAAACATTTGTAACTATGTCGTATTTTATTACTTAGAGGGGTTTTGTACCGTTTTTAAAGTCACATCAGAAAAATAAAAACATTGATCATAAGTTCAGTTTATTCGTTTCTTAAATTCTCCCTCTGAGCAAAAGGATTAGAGATGAATGTGTAGATTAGATTAGATTAGATTAGATTAGATTAGATTACCTAATCCGGTGGTCTCCAGGTCAAAGAAAACGATTATTCTGTTGCGAGCCATCTGGAAGATAATCAATGGATTTCAGCTCCATTTTAACAAACAGCAACATTAAACTAATGTGAACCGCGTTAAGGTAAAAATAATACTAGAAAAAAACATGAGTTTTAGTAACTACGGATTAACTAAACTAAGGATTAGTAAAACTCACCTTCTCCGGTGTGGGTCCTTCTCAGCTGAGCGGAAAGACAGATGTGAAGCAGCTGGAGCAGAAAGTCTCACTTATTCACGTCATTTAGGAGCAGAGCGGCTCTGAGCGCCGCTTTCATTTTAGCCGAAGAGAAACAAATTAAAGTTTGTATCGTTTTTGTCACGCGGAGCTCCGGTGGCCCCCACCTCTTCAGCTCCGGTGGCCCCCACCTCTTCAGCTCCAGTGGCCCCCACCTCTTCAGCTCCAGTGGCCCCCCACCTGTCCCAGCAGACCGACCGAAGCTCAGTGACCCAACAAAGCTCACTTCGCGGGAAGCTTCGCCGACATTCGTTCGACATCAACCGGAAATACAATCCTTATATGGAGTTTACGCGGCACGCGATTCACAACAAACCCCGCTTGTCTGATCCGTTCCGCTCACTTCCGGAAGAAGGAGCAACTAAGTCACGTTAATTAATGACATGTCAAGTTAAAAAATGAATTATAATGAGAATAGATGCATATAAAACAAATAAAATACATAAATGTTTGTTACTCGGAGAGTATGAAACATTAAATTATACAATATTAATCCAGATTAGATATCAGTCATAGAGTGCAACCCTCTCAACATTAACAACCTCATTTTGTAACAGATTTTATTGACTGCAGTTAGGTTTTAGCTCAGGAGTTTGAACTAAGCATTAATCACATATTTCATATCAATAATATATACCCATATTAAACATGATAGTTTTGGGATTAAATTACAGCAGGTAGTTTCAGAAATCTTTCCATTCTCTGTGTAGATTCCACATTATTGTAAGATTTGGTACATTACCACCAGTTTTACTTGATATTATTCATTCTTTTTATTTTTTATATTCTGATATTTTTGTTCTGTTTCCTTTCATGATTGAACAGTTGATTATCTCCCCATGTGGCAAGATGCTAACAGATTTCTACAAATCTAAAGGGACTTCCTAGCTGACTAAAGAATAAACATTAATGCATTAGCATGAATTTACTCAATAAGTTTGTATTTTTACATCCTAACAGATCTGTGAAACAAGCTCTTAAGATCACATCACTGCTGACTCTTTATAAATGGAATTTGATTAGTTATTTTTCCTTTAAAAGAAAAAAAAAAAATTTTTTTCCTTTAAAACCCAGTGCCATCATAGTTGAGTGTGGAGATGCATACAGCTCAGGGATCAAACGGTTATTTAAAAACACCAAAAATATTTGGTTAGGGTAAATTTAAAATGTTTCTAAAAATCTGTGATTAACTCATGCAACTAATTGCAAATGTAATTGTTGATTGATTAAGAGTCCTATTGCAGTGCTTACTGCTACTCCAGGCATTATTAATTGAATAAAAGCTGTAAGAAGCTGATCCAGGCATCGATGCTGCTAATGTCCGAGCTAACAATAGACTCCTTTAACAGCATGCGTTCATTTCATGCCGACCAAAGCAATTCACACACAAAACATCACTCATCTCACTTTTCATTGGCTGCATTTGTATTTTTAATATAATAAGCAGATGAAAATTTCTCCCCATAAAGTTTTTTTTTCCCCCTTACAACCGTAGAGATGTTTTAGATAATTAAAAAAAGAATAACACAAATTGCACCTTATACATACTTAACTAAGTCCACTATTTTTGCACTTCTTTCTTTCACCGTTTCCCTGCGACAAACAAATAAAACAGAACCATGCATGGCCTGTAGGGGGGGAAGTTGCCGTGATGAATAAATCGGTAATAAGGATAATATATCCTTTTATTATAACAGGTTCTTTTTCACCTACTGTACATCTAAAAGTCATGATCATAAATAGTACATACACTGTATAAACAGAAGAAAAACAACGACTGAAAGCGAGGCATGCCTTCCAGTGACAGTTACATTCACCTTTTACTCTTTTTTTCTTTTTTAAATACTTTTTCCTTATTTTTCTTTTTTCAGAATGTCATATGGAAACACACCACAAATATAACTGTGAGGATAACTGACCAAGGAGCAGTTTTGTTCTTTCAGCTCACTTCCAGAAGCAGATGCACCTTTTTAAATATTATTATCATCCTTATGGTTAATGTAGTTTATAACATATATGAGGAAGGAAACAAACACGCATGTACAGTGCCTTGCTGAAGCGTTCACAATTTTTCCAGTTTTCCAGCATTCCAACCACAAACTTTAATGTATTTGAATCTGCTGCCATGAATCAACAGAGTTTTACATCATAAACAGGTGAAACGAAGGGGCACATGGTTCTGAACATTTCCCACAAAGACTTTAAGTCCAATACCTATCTTGTGCAGCAATTTTGCTCATGTGTTAACTTTGGAGGAGCTGCAGCTGCTCAGGTGCAATAATCTGTTACTGTTTGGTTGGTTCCTAAATGCAATTTCTTTTTTCTGTTTTTTTTTTTTTAAAGTGCACAAAGACAGCCTTAAAAGTGCTGCTTACAAATGAGGTGTAAAAGAGGAGGGGGGATCTAAGCTTTTGCATCATCCTAAACCATCCAGATAGTCATTGATGATGCAGAGAGCCCATAAAAGACTCAGAAGTAGTTCATCCTCCTAGTTCAAAACCAAGCCTCCTTTTTCTTCCCCTCCACAATCTATGCACAACTTAGTGCTTCTCTATAATGTAAGATCCTGACAACTTGCACTGAATGAGTGGTTGTATGCTGGCAAAACTTGCAAAAGATCAAATGGTGTGAAGACTGGTGCAAGGCACTGATTGACAGCTGTAAAGAGGAGCTGATTTAACACTGATGGTGTAGTGAAGCCAGAGCAAAGCTTGCTCCAAAGTCCAGAGTCAACATCACGCACACTTGTTATGGACAGAGTAGGACAGTAAGAGGACGCACACGGACTGAGTGTGTGGGTTAGTTGCTACTTGTTTTGGTCAACAGGCAGATTAAATGCTACTTTTCACAGCAAGAACCCGGAGAGAGGAGCGCAGGGGAGCTACGGTCAAGAAGAGAGAGAGCAGGAAGAGGAGGAGCAGAGCATTTTGTGGCTCAGCGATGTTGGACGGTTAAAATGGTCTGATAAGTGCAAGGCAATAGAATCCACCCCCCCCTTATCCCACTACCACCGTTCATAGTGTAACCGGCACAGTTTTCACCCTTAAAGGAGCAGAGAAAGCCAAGTGTATAAAGGAGTGAGTAAGAGAGGCTACATATGCACAGAAGTGAAGTCATAGGAAGAGAAAAAAATGGCTTTCATCAAAACAATCCAATAATTAAGAAAAAAAAAAAAACATGACATCTTTGATATCAATCAATTAACACCTATGATACAGGAATATCTCACAATAAAAAACAAACCAAAGATTCAAGTCCTGACCAAGTAACACTGATGTTTCTGAACTAAACCTGTGCAGAAAAAAAGGCAGAGCACAAAGCGCTCCCAGCCGGCCGGCCAACGGACGCCCGGGGCGAGCTCTGGGGACATGTGACGAGTCAAACCGCGGCCCCTCAAACCGGCCCCGGAGCCAGACGGAAAACCGGCCATAAAGAAAGTCGACCTGAATTTCTTACACTTCAATTTACAGAAACAGGTCACAGATCCACACGACCATCCCAGGAGCAGCACCGGACTCTCTATTTATCTGAAACAATAATATTAATAATAATAATAATAGTATTAACACAGCTTTGACAGTCTGTCGTAACTGATGCGAGCCAGGTGTGATGGAAAGCATGCAGCCTCTTGGCCGCTGCTTCCTGTGTAAACATGACATAATGCACACTTAGATTGACGCTGCTTCCTGACAGCATGTTCACCAGTTCAGTCACTATGGCTACATTTGTTCCTGGTGGCACGACCCACCTGCTGCAAAAATAAAGATGGAGCATTGATTTGGCTTTGAAGGATTTCCTTCTTTTCTTCCTTATCCAACCCCCACATCTGCCTTCCAGTCTCACTGGTCCTTTAAATGACCCCTGGTACACCTGCAGGGGCTAAAAACGTACTGAGATCTCCTCGGTTCTTCTCGGTCCAGCTGTCTGCTGTTCACAGAAACCATCAGCCCGCCGTTTCCTTGAAAATCTGCTCAATACCAAATCCTTCTGCTTTGGTTGGGTCAAAGATGCCGGGGTTGGGCACAGAGGAGGAGCTGCTTTCTGACCTGCAGTCTCCTTCTTTTTTCCCGTCAAAAGCCGGCGGCAGCTGGTCTTCCTCTCCCTGCGGTAATCACACCATGAACTCATTTTGATTGTACAGAACCAGCTGCTGTGGCCCCGAGCCGAAGTCCGAATCTCTCCGATGGGCTCCCGAGGAGTCCCGCGGCGAGCTGCGGCTCAGCCTGAGCCTGAGGCGAGTCTTTCCGGTCCTTTGGCCTTCTTCTGGTTCGGCCAACGGGGCCCCCAAGCTGCAAGATGTGAGCAGGGGCCCAGAGGAGGACGAGCGAAAACGGTAGTGAGGAGATGGGGAACCAGAAGCATTGGAGGAAACGGAGGAGGAGGGGTGATAGGAGGATGAGATGGTGGAGGTGGAGTCGACAGAGTCCTGAGAGTCTGGCTGACGACGGAGAGTTCGTCTGGACTTCGACTCAGACTTTCTCGATTGGTACGTCACACGTTCTGTGAAGAAGACAGGCAGAAGACAGGACAGTACATCAATATGTGCTACAAACCGATAGAGTATGAAAAGAAAAAACAGCGGCTCAAGTCAAGCTTAAACATTTAACAAAGGAAATCCAAATAGTTTGAGTTATCATTGTTTTGAAATAACCTGCTGGCTTTGGAAATACATCATTTCAGAAAATCCTTAGATCTGAGGAGGTTTCTGGGGGTGAACAAACATTTAATCTCATGCAAACGGAGTTAGTAAGGGTTTTCTATAACAATGACAAACGAAATCAGATTTAATGAGCAGGAGGGAACCGAGGAAAGAGCCTTGAGGAACGCCTTATCAAGCTGACTTTAAGAAGAAACATCAGTAATAAACCAGTCAGAGGTAATGGAAGCCACTTGAGCTAGCGGCTGTCTAGCTCAACTGGTCACCGGGCCTGCAAACAGGAAGTGGTATCCCAGCTGGGGGGAATGAATGGCAGTGTGGATCCTTAGGCAGGACCCTTCATGCTAATGCATGCTTTGGGGAGTGGCGGTCTAGGCAGTTTCTCAATTTACGAGAACCCGAGTACAGATTCGCTCGGCTCTTCTAGAGCTGCATTTCACCTCCTGTTATTAACAGTCTCTAGATAATAATAAATTATTACTTGTTTAATTTAGTGGGGGAATAATGATGACGACAGTCAGATAAACACAAATCAAATGAAAATTTTGCCAAATAAAACCAAAAAATCGCAGCCAGAGCCAGCGGTCCTTCACACACGGCTATGCCGATAGGGCTGCTGCTGACCTTTGCAGGTCCGCTGGTTGCCGCAGTGCTCTCAACTTCGGAAATCTTTTTTTTAATTACGCATTCAATTGGTAAATGAATGTTGCATTTATGTGGGCTGCACAAACTCTGCTGACAGATGCTGAAATGAGTGAAACTTGTTCCCTCAGAGGGACTGAGATGCTGTTCCAGTCTCCCCATGCAGATCTACAGCAGCAGCCATTCAAAATGGCCCTTCCCAGTCAAACCCCAGCCTACTACCCTGCAACTCTCAGCAAAATCCTCTCCAACATCCAGCCACTGGCCTTCTCCTTGGTCTGCATATCAATCTGACTCTACCCTACACTGAATTACAGGTCTGACCAGGAGATGACCTACTTTTTAGATCTTAATGTCCACAAATCATTACAGAACGAATGTTTTAGATGTTTAAAAAGGAATTGTAGGGGACCAGCCAAGGATCCATCATGGAAAGTGTGGAAATTTGGAATTGCTACTACTGTGAGGGGAGCTGAAGGCTCCATGAACAGCAGATCAGTGGATGGTTGATTGGAATCAATATAAATTCTGGAGAAACTTTAAATAAGGAGAAGAAACCAGATCTATTCTCTCTTGTGGCGCACAGGAAGCAGCAGACATTGCTCTACTGACAGCTGCTGTTTCTCACTGCTTACCTTCAGAGATTTTGTGCTTCAATCTGTTTTTAAGCTCTAAAAACAGATCAGAAATTTTTCAGAATGATTTCTGTGGTTGAGAAAATTAGCAGGATGCTGCAGGACTAAACTCTCCTCCACTGACTGATCTCACTCTGTCTCCTTCAGCCATTAATTCTCCCCCTGGTCTCTGTCTGCACTCTGGGGCAACAACAATTATAGGTTCATGGTTCATCACAGGTGTAGTTATACACATTTAAAGTCTCTTAATTGTCTGGCTTAGCATTGTATCCATTGTTGAATGGATACAATAGAGCAGTTTTCTCAACGTCCCTTCTGGTTTTAGATACAGACATAGATCTAACAAAACCAACAGCTAAGTAGCCTAAATAGTTTAAATACAAGAACATTTTGATTCAAAACAGAGATTATCACAGATTTTTCTAAACTCTGATAAAAGTGAGGCTCTAACCTGCAATCTGACATCATCGTTCTGCAATAAACATGCAAGGCACCTGATCAGGATCTATGCAATAAGATCTGACCAGACCTCAGGCTACGTGAGCTTTCAGCTCATAGTTCTGCAACTATGGAATCAAATGGGTGTGGCTTATAATTCCCATTGATCTGTAGAACATTTCCCTGGCAGGATTTCCCAGGGATGAGCTCTGAATCACTTTTTCACTCCATGCTTCTCAATAAAATTCAGACATCTTTCTTCTTTTATAAGACTTATTCTCGTTTACTTTGAACTGCTGTTATTAATCCACTAACGGTTTATTCTTGTATTGAATGTAACCCCACTGGCATCTAAAGAGCGTACCAGAGGGGGTGGCTCCTTCCGTGTCCATGGTGATGTTTTCAGAGCTGTCTGCTGTGCCGATGGAGGCCTCCGATTCAGGAGTTTCATCATCAGATGCTCGAGGCTCTAAGACCAACATCTCGTACGTCAGCTCCTCCCTGAAAGCAAACACATGTGGCTTCATCAGAGGCGTCCAACTTCAACCAAACTCCAGAGTAGGAACATCTCTCGTGTTAAAACGCACTTCTCCTTCTGTAGGCTCTCGATCTGCTCCGTTAGTATCCGCTCCTCCTGCTGCATCACCTGCTGCTGCTGCTCACTGAGCCCGCTCTCTCCTGCCTCCTCTCCTCCTCCTCCTCCTCCTCCTCCTCCAGCACCTTCTCCTTCTGCTTTGGGGCTCAAAGGAGGCGATGGGATGTGGGAGCCGCTTTGCCGAACACGAACTCTGCTCTGTATTTTCAGACAAACACAGATGAACAAAATAAATAACTAAAATCAGGGAAATGGCATAAATTTGAAGTTTGATCAGAGAGGTAATAGGTGAGAGAGATGGTCATGAAGCAGAGAGCGACCATGTTTTTAACCACATGCTGACAATACAGATCCACTAACCACGCTTTGCACCATCACTGCTATAAGCTCTGCTGCAGAACAAACAAACACTCGGTCATACGGTCACACACACGCAGGAATGACCTGGAATAACGCTGTGCTGCATTTGAACACGCTGAGCAGCAGAAACAGGAAGCGGTGCGATCAGCTGAGCTACCCAGCTCTGTCTGAGCCTTCACAGCAAACACACACAGCTACATGGCATGGGAGCAGGTTAGCTGGCACTAAGTAGCCACTTTCAAAGCTTTTCAGCTACAGTAACCCACAGACCTGGTTTTAGGAGAAGAACTAGACTAAACTAAACTAGCAACATCGTATTTATCTGATCAACATTTCAACCTATCAGGTCTGAGTGATGAGTTTCTAAAACTAGCTTCGCAAAGGTTGTTCAGCAGATTAGAATTAAAGAAAATACAATCTGATTATTTCTGGAATATTTTTCCTAGTTTTCTGCATATTCAGTGAGCTTGGAGCTACTTCGATCATAGCTGCTAATGTTCCGTACCTCATTGTTTAACACCTTCCTCTGATTAAAACCCATTACTGTAAATAAGATCAGTCGTTAGAGGATTAGCAATATCTCACACTTAAAGAAGATTCATCCAAGCTTTAGATTAAGTAGGAAAAGCACCTTATGTTAACTGTTAGCTAAGGTAGAGGCTTGGTGAGGCTGTGGGCCTCTTTCCCATCCCAATGAGCTTTTCAACATTCATGATTTTGTCTTTCTCAGCGAATATTACATCTGTCCCATTGCAAGTTTTCTTAGCAGTTTATTTTTTGAACACCAAGAAAAACTTTTTTTAAATGCCATAAAAAGAAAAAACAGCTGGATTTTCTAAGTGCTTTAAATGTTTCTAGAGGCACAATGCTCAAAAATGTGCAAAAATAGGTCCCCTTTCCAAATTCACAGACGACAAACATATTCCATAATATTTTCTTTATTCTCCTTGAACCCCAGTCGGCCTCAGCAGATGGTCGCTCACACTGAGCCTGGTTCTGCTGGAGGTTTCTTCCTGTTAAAAGGGAATTCTTCCTCTCCACTGTTGCCTCAAGCATGCATGGTGTGATGGATTGAGTCAATGAGATGATGCATCAACTGGTTTTCTTTAGATAGAAAACTTTGAATAAATCTGACTGTATGATCTGGTTGAACTGGAAAGTGCCTTGAGATGACATGTGTTGTGATGTGGCACTATAAAAATAACTTGAATTGAATTTCTATTAGATGAGGGTAAAAGATCCATGCCTCCTAAAGATAATATTCTAGGGTATTTCTATTTGGCCACTGAGGAATATCTGTGGGCAAATATATGACATAAAGCAGACAAAGTTTTTTGCAAAGGCCTCGACAACCAGCCAGGTCTACCTGACAGCCAAGAACAGCGAGCAGAAGGGTTACAAAGCCGTCACATCCCTTTTCCATGTAACAAGCAGCTCTTTGGGATACATGTCTATGTTGGGCTTTACTGGGAGTTGTGGGCTTTGGTTAGATAAGTCCGCCTTTATACACATGGAAATGGCTGCAACCAGATGGTGGGTTTAGTTTGAAAGAGTCCTATATATTTTTGAAACCCCTGTGGGACACAGATCCCCATCACAATGAACCATCAGCTATTTATTACCCTTTGGTTCATTTTTAGGTCTTATTCAAATAAAAGGCCTATTATTTTTCTAATGTTTTCACATCTTTACCAAAGATTCCAGGTATGTGCTGCGTGCGCCACATCCCAACCCAGTGTTGACGCTTCATATGTGATACCTCTGAGGAAGTAGTTCAGAACATCAGTAAGTAATGTTAAGAGTTGTTGAAACTTACCTGACTTTTACTTTTATTTTAAGCTTTTGGAGTCACAAACATATTATAAAAACTACTGATTAGCAGAAGCTAAAGTCAATTTTTTATGAGGAAGTAAGAGTAAACAGAGCAAACTATCCATCCATCCATTTTCTGTCACGCTTTATCCCTGCTTTGGTTGCGAGAGGTGGAGGACACCCTGGACAGGTCACCAGTCCATGGCAGGGCAACAGAGCTAACTAATGGCTTCAAAAGAATAGGATTTGTATTCTGCTCTATTTTAAAAGGTATTTTAATAAGATTAAAAAAAATCACGTCTAATGGAGACAAATGCTAAGGTTATTTTTATGTTGATGTTTTACATGCTCCTCATTCGGATTTATCTGTTCAGTCAAGCCACCAGTTAGGATCAGACTCAACTATTTAAGTGATTATGATCCATTTTCAGATCAGTCAGAAAGGAGGCTGCAGAGTGAGCATAACTGCTAACAAACAATGAGCTATTCATTCAGAATTTGCACATCCTGCATGAAGAGATACATTTGCATGTGTATCTGAGCATTTCCAGGAACCAAAGAGATCGTAAATCTACATAAAACATGAGCTTCAGGAATTACCTTTACTATCAATTTCATGATCTAAAGAGATATTTTTAGTTGCTTTATAACTGACTGTAGACCGGTGAAGAATCTCAGTCATCCAGGTAATAGTACATTCCAAAAAAGTAAAAAAAATAACAATCCACTGGAGTTTATTTTCAAAGTTTGAGGACATTTCACTTCCCATTCAGGAACCTTTTTAATCCAAAATGTCTGAAATAGCATCGAGTTCGAGGCTTGAACTCAACGCCATTTCTGACATTTTGAAGTGAAAAAACTTCCTGGTTGTGAAGCAAAATGTCTTTTAACTTGGAAACAAACTCCAGTGGATTGTTATTTAACTTTTTTGGAATGTACTATAGACCCAGCTCCTCTTCATAAGTTTCCCTATTTGTTGATGATCAACAAAACACCACCACTACTTTATCTCAAAGGCATTTCTCCTGTAAAACCACAGCTTTTTGGTAATAAATGTTGCTGATTCAAACCGGACGTTTCTATATTATGTTATGGAAAATAAAAATGGTCGATACATATCGTATATCCCCATGCAGATTAAAAACGACAGAATATAAAAAGCATATTAGCTTGCAGATATAAAATACAGATTAACATCATATATTGCCATTCTGATTGGAATAATGATAGATATGGTATTTCATCATGTAGAGAACAATACCGATATATATCTAATATAACCAGGCATATTAAAACAATCTTGATATATATCTAATATCCACATGCAGATTAAAAATATAATTATATTATACATCATGTGGATGAAATATTTCGAGGTATATGGCAAATACTGCAAAGCAAATTAAACGTTTCAAGATATATAACAAATATCTCAATGCATATTTGAAAAAGAATTTATAAAAATGTATTAATTTATTATATTTACAGCTAAATTCAGATAACATATCAATAAAATGTGCAATATAATCCTGCAGATTAAAGTATTGAGAGATATATTAAATATTGCCATGCAGATTAATTTAATGAGACACTTATGATTTATCACTAGGTAGATTGGACAATTTAGGTGAATAAAAGCAAAAGAGTTTGTTTATTTATTTAGATCAATTTGAGGTAAACTAATGGCTATTTCTGCACTTTATCAGAAAAAAAATTAAAAGTTTTAACTTGTAATCAAACAGTCCTGTTTACGCCATTTCAAGCCAGTTATGCTGTTGTCTTCAACTGAATCTCATTCAACAGCAGAGGGTTAGAATGGCCACTTCAGCATAATGATGACATAATGTCATTCATCAATATTTTTTGCACTGAAGGACATTAAAACAGAAACACGAACAATTAAACAAACATCTAAACAAAGAATGAGCTGCCTAACAGAGACCAGCTGACAGACAGGCATGGATAGTGCTGTGGCTGGACGTTACAGACAGCATGGGAGCAACAGGACACGGCAGGACTGGCGGTGGGCGGCGCATGGTGAGGGCGGGGCATACATACCGGGGTGGCAGTGCGGGTAATGCTCATAAACCTAACAGCAATTAGTACGGGTTTCTGGAAGGAAGGGAGGGAGGGAGGGAGGATACATACCGGGGTGGCAGTGCGGGTAATGCTCATAAACCTAACAGCAATTAGTACGGGTTTCTGGAAGGAAGGGAGGGAGGGAGGACAGATCAGGGTTAGGGACTGCTGCAGGTAATCACATCAGAATGGGCCTGCTCAATTAGAGGGGCGAGATTAGGATTAGCTCAGGTTAAAGAAAGGAGAATAGAATTAACTTTAGGTTGAGTTATCCAGGTCAAAAATCTCCCATTTCTCCCTAAAGTGTTAGAAACTATTTTAATCCTGCGGCATTTAATTTAAAGATTGGTGGATAGATGATCTGGAGGAATATTACACTGCGCTGTCACAGGCACTTAAATTAAACGTCATTACATCTAAAAGATTTACTGATCAGAAACTAACATTGATTTATGAGTAAAGTTTTCAGAATCCTTTCATTTCTGACAGTTTTTGCATCAAAACCAGAACATTTATATAAGAAAGAAGTGAAAAACCAAAGTTTTATTTTTCTCGCAGTACAAATAAAACCCCTTTTTTGTAACTTTTTTTAGCTGAAACTACAACTGGGAGTCTTTTGGGGTGAGACTCAGCCAGATGTTACCATTCCCAGCTGGCTCAGAGCTCGTCTGCCTGGCTGTGTGTTTCCTGGACGGGGCCGCCTTTTACAATTGCCTTTTGTATCTATGCTTCTTTTTCTATGTCTGTATCTGTCTCCTTGAACCCCAGTCGTCCTCAGCAGATGGCCGCTCACACTGAGCCTGGTCCTGCTGGAGGTTTCTTCCTGTTTAAAGGGAGTTTTTCCTCTCCACTGTCGCTACAAGCATGCTTAGTGTGAGGGATTGCTGAAGAGTCAATGAGTCGATGCAATCAGCTGGTTTTCCTTTGATAGAAAACTGACTGTATGATCTGGTTGAACTGTAAAGTGCCTTGAGATGACGTGTTGTGAATTGGATCTATATAAATAAACTGAATGAATGAAATTGATTGTAGGATTCCTAAAGGTTTGCTGATTTCTCTGCTCAGGTTCAGTCAAACCCATTTTTTAAAGGTGTCCAGTGTCTCGGTCCTAATGAAGCACAGCCTCCCTACATCAGAACGCTCTCACTATCTTTGCCAAGCTGTCATGTTCAGGAGGTTCACAGGGAGACTTCTTTCTTTTTTCAGATGCTCTGTCAGCTCGTTTTAATCTGCTTCAATCATCTCCATAACTTCCTCCCTGACTCGTTGCCGTGTTTCCTTGGTTTACAAAATGCCGTATGTTCACAACTGTTTCAGTTTTTCTTGCCAAAAACTTTGAGAAGTAGCAATCTATTTGAATCCATTTAACTTTTTTTTTATATTATGTGCTGACTAAATGAAAAGGTTCAGAGGGAAGTTTTATTCAGAACCTCTTTTAAATAATCCTGACTTAGAATTGGTATGATTGGTCCATATGTTAAAAAGGTTCTAGTGATAAAAGTGAAACCTCTGCTTGTTTGTGTGAAAATGTAAATGGACTCCGAGCAGAACGCCATGCCAGCTGCTCCACAGCAGCTACAGGCGTGAAACCTCGGGGCCGTCTTACCAGGGACCTCCTGATGTGGGTCAGTCTGCTCTTTGCTTTGCTCTCTGCAAACTCCAGAGTGTTGATGTCCTTCAGACGAGCTTTGTACTTGCTCATCTGTTCGTTGATGATCAGCTCCACGCACCTGCAGGCAGAAGACAAAAGCAAAATCGTCAAAATCTCCATGGGGTCCAAACTGGGGCAATGGTTTTTCATGGCGGCCCGGAAAAAAGAATTAAGCAAAAAAAAAGCCAAAAGTTTACATTTGATGTATTGAGTCGAAGAAGCAAAGAGTAGCTTGCAGTTCTGACTTGAAAGAAGTGGGACGTTCATGTAATTTAGGTCAATTCAGATTATTATTGTCTTTCTGGTTTGAAACTGTTAATTTTACTTTACTGAAAAAAAACTCCCTTCTTGTAGAAAAAAAATAAAAAAATCAACTGAAGTAATGAGTTTGAAGTAAATATCAGCTTCAATTCGAAAGTGATGCTTTAGCGGAACGTCTTGATATAATTATAAATAAAATAAGGGGTGGGGGGGGGGGGGCATCCCCCTTCTTAAATGACCATTCCCCCATACCATCCTTTTTGACATTTTATTACTGAATATGTCAATTTCTACAATATATTAACATTAATGGCAATGATATTGTGCTCTCAACATTTGGCTGGTTGTGCGTTTCCTAGTAGCCTGACCAGATTACGGTGGCCCAGAGGGCACATGCCATTTCATTTTAGACCTCAGTGGCGCAACCAGCGAAGCAGGTGACGGTGTTCTGAACAGCATCACAGCTAAGCGGGAAAGACAACGTGATTTGAGGGACTTGATTTTTAAGAAGGCTAAAACTAACGCTTCAGGTAAGTCAAGACTCTGAAGAAATGACCTTTTATAAGCTCACCATTGTGTCACCAAATATGTAGAAGTTCTAAGCTCTGGACGTAGCATGCAGAACTAGGTAAAATAATATGAAGCCCAAACATGTTTCTGTCTTTAAAGTTGTCATGACACATGAGAATTAGTCTAGAGCGTACAGGCATTGCTGAACATTCAAAATCTGCATTTTGGTTGTGAATGAAATGAATCTGTAGCCCGCTGCTGTTTTGCTTGGTGACAGCCAGAATCTGCAAGATGCTGATGAGTGAAGTGGAGCTGTGCTGGAAACCGGAGGAGATAATCGAAGGTTTGAAAAATGCATTTTAATTAAGCAATTTAAGATACGGGTTAAGATTATTATCTTGAAAGAACAACCAAATATGATGCTAATGTAAAGTAATTTTGATTTTCTGATAAACAGTCTATTTTATAAAATAAAAACTCTAAATGAATATTTGAAAGGTGAGTAAACTTATTAGATTTTTTATAGGATTGTTTATTTTTCAGGGTAATTTGGATGTATTTGAATCTGTAAGCAGTTTTTATTCAGATTTTGAAAATTATGTCAGCTGTTTCAATTTAATTAATTGAATTTGAATAAAAATATACTTGACTTGAAAGGATTCAGATATTCCTCTGCAATGTTTTGTGAGGTTTTGTTCCAAATCATAATAGATTCATTGCCCGCAGATTTTCCAAAGTAAAATAAAAGAAGTGTCCTACCATGACTATGAAGCTGAAACCAGTGGGAAATTAGTCCCCAACTCTGTAGGGGCACTGATAGCTATGCTAACTATGTAGCTATGCTAACCATGTAGCTATGTAGCCATGCTAACTATGTAGCTATGTAGCTATGCTGACTATGTAGATATAAGGCTTCTATGGTCAATGAATGAAATATTGAGTTTTAAAAAAATTGCTAAAGTTTTTGGAATAAACCATCATTGTATTATTTCAATAAACTTTGATGACCTATATTAAATAATGATGAGCATTTTTAATCAATTAAAAATTATAACAATAAAAAAGACATGGTTGCAAGACACCAATCAGTTAGGGGGCCTTTTCAGACGTATAGCATCATCATAAATTTATTTCTTATTAACTTTTGGGTGCGTCTCTGAATGAACTTTCATCCCAAAGGAAGCAGATTCACTTCCTGTCTTTCAGATTTCAAATATGGAGGCAGAGGGAAACATACGCGGTGGTTTTGCTGATGTCTTGGACGCTCTGCAGCGGGTCGATGGTGTCGGGACAACGGAGGATGCAGGGAGCGAAGACGATTGCGAGTGCGTTGGCGGACATCCTGTTGGTTTCCTCCTGTAGGGCAATCCTGCAACGCAACACAGAGCAGCAGAATTATTTTAATCCTAACCTTCATCAGACGTGACACAGACATTCCTTCAGGAACCGTCTGACTGCCATGAAGCTCACCCACCTGACCAGGTGGAAGATCAGACGCTCCAACGTGCTAAGGTGCGTCCTGCTGAGCTGGTCGATCACAGAGTAAACGCCTCGGATCATCTCCCGCTTGTCCGGTTGGCCTGAAAACAGCAGATCAAAAACTTTGCTTTTCATGTCCAAAATTACGCTTTCCTTCCTTTAAATTTCCAGAAGTCTTAATAAACATTTAGTTTCAAAAATCTCTAGTTATGGCTGGATCATTTAGATTAGGTCTGTGACCTGCGGCTCCAAAGCAGGAAGTGGAGCTTTAGACCCCCGACTATGGCTCTAAATGGTAACTAAACATGATCTTAGGAACCAACTAATAACCGATATCAGTCTAAGAAGATTTTGTTGATCTTTAAAGGCACATCGGGTAACTTTTGGCCACTAGGGGCAATAGAACTGTAACTTTCAGGTCTGGTGCCCCTTGTAGCTTTTGTTTGTAGCCTGCTAGCTTTCTCTGCCTGTATTTTGGACAAAACACCTATGAGCCTATAGGCCTATTCAAAATACAATAAAAATAAATAAGTAAATAGATTGAGATTCAATACTATATGTATATCATCATATACACTTCAGTGCACACAACCAGGGTCTGTAACACACAGGCATCATCAGTTCTCAGGTGAATATATCAGCTATAAATTAAACTTCACAATAACACTATAAAAAACATACATTTGGTCAGCTGGCATGAACCTGAGTCACTGTGTTTATGTTATACGTGAATATATTAGCTCCAAATTCCATTTACCAGAAGGAAATAATTAATTATTATACTATTCAAATTTTATTTAATAGTTCTTAATTTCCTTAATTTAATAGTTCATTACACAAAGAAATTTGAACCCAAAATGCTTTTCTGTGCCATATTTGCTCCTCCTTCTGTGATTAGACTATGTCATTTTACTAGTCTGCTGCCATGAGCAGGATACCATGCTCTAGCTTGCTTGACATTGCCATGACAACATAACTTCCATGAAGTTGTGTTGATGAGGCCTCACAATAATTAAATAAAAATCCAAATACACGTAATAGTCAAATAAGAAAAAAGTAATTTCCAAAAATATTCATAAGAAATTTATAAATTGTGCGAAGTGTTTTTAATACTTTAAATCTCCCTCTCACCACTAGAGGGTGCTGCAGAGACCCCCACTTCCCGCGGCCATGGGTTACATCACCAACGAAGGTGTATCTTCTCCCAACTTACAGAGTCAGTATTTCAAGAGGGGAGCCCAGCTTGTAGCATTGTTAGTGTAAAAGTGCTGCATATTAGCCTGAGGAATCATTTAAAAGAACTCATATGCATCAACTCTTCAGGTCACAAAGCGGTGTGCCTTTAAAATCTCAGAATTCAATTTTTACAACTGAATTACATGAAAAGTATAGTGGAGGATGGTCTTTTTCCGGGTGGATCATCAAAATAAGTGGTCCTCCTAAAGTAAGCTTGTATGACCAATGCAAACATCAACTTTTAAACAGAGCGTGCACGGGGAGACCTGGGCTCTAACATGCGTTTAATAGGCGTTACCTCTGGGGAGCAGGTACAGGTTTGTGTATGTGCATTTTTTGTTTTATAATGGAGGGCAAGTTGTTGTTTTTTTTATTGTGAAAATCCTCCACTATCCCTTTAAGAGAACCAGAGATATGCTTTTAGATACATTTTTTTTTTATTAATTTTGAAATTATGTTTATTTTTCATCAAATAAAATCGTGTAGAAGAAAATCTCTGCTTCATCTCTATGAAACTTTTCATGTTTTTCCTTATTTTAAAAGGTCAAAATAAAAAAAAAACCCTGACAGTTGTTTGAAAATAGCATCAGCTTTTCCTACAGCAGATATAAAAAGTGAAAAGTTGTGTGTTATCATTATTGAGAACTGTGACATCAGATGAAGGAGTTCACCCTGCAACTGAAGGGTTGTCGGTTCAAGTGTCGTATTGTCCTTGATAGGACACTTCACCTGCATTGCCTAATGATGGCGGTCAGAAGGCCCGGTGGCACCTCTGTCAGTGAGCCCCAGGGCAGCTGTGCCTACTGTGCAGCTTGCCACCATCAGAGTGTGGGTGAATGGGTGAATGTATTGTAAAGCGCTTTGTTCAAGCCTTGAATAGTGCTTTAGAACTACAGGACATTTACAGTTTACCATATTAAAAGGTTGTGTATTTAATGTGCCTCTAAACCACTTTGGATTATAATCGACTCTGGAGTTTTAAGGTCGTAGATCTTTGTAAAGTGGCATCAAATCTGAAAGGATGAGTATTTTACTAGATTATCAGGGCCTTAAAAACATATTTATCAATACTTTCATCAAACCAACAGCTTTAAGCAGGGCTTACCCATTGCTCTGAGGAACTCCTCGTAGAGTTCAAAGGTCATGAGCGGGCTGGGCAGGTCCCTCAGCCACTGTTTGAGTACGCTGGCGATGACATGGATGTTGTAGTCGTCCAGAACCACGCTGCTCACATCTGCAGCCAAAAGAAGTTTGGATGAATGAACTCCAGAGCCAGCAATGAGCAGCGGCACAGCTGGGAAACATCTGTCTCAGATCTGGGCCTCCGAAAGGTTTTCAACTAGAAGGCTGGAACTCCTTTTTATGTTAAGCCCCCGTCACAAAATGACCATTTAACCAGCTTATACCTGATGTACAAAACATGCTGGTTTACTTTGGAGAAGTTATGGTTCAGTTTTGTATGAGTTATGAGCATGCTGACGCACGCTGACACACATCGGGTAATGAGTAGCTCAAAAGTGCTCGATGTATGCCAGCGTACGTACGCCATACATAGGCCAAGTTAGAGGTAAGTCATCCGATCGTCGACATACGTTAATTATAAATTACTCATCAGTCGTGGCATCACGCTTGTGCATAACTTCTGTGTAACTTATCAAGAACTTCTCTCCAACGCATATCAGCGTATTTGACGTGTTCTAGACGAGCGCTGAACGCGTTTCTAACTTCCAGCTACTGTCTAATGGCGTTTTAGTATAAAGGGGCTCACAGGAAGAAACCATCAGTACTCCTCCAGACTTCATTCCCATCACAGGGTGAGTGAGAGAGCTATGGGTCCTCCCTGCGTTAATGCCCACGGCCCCCAACTGGAACCTGCTGCAACTGCAAACCTTCTTTATCTTTTTTCTTTTTATTCTTCTTATTTGGTGGGCGGTAACCAGCAGCTAGATTAATACTGCAATCAATATCTTTATGCAGTCCAGGCACCTCTGGGAGCATCGCTGCCCCCCTCAGGACACTGGCTTGTGAAATTTGATGGGCATTACCCTGCCGTGCATTATGCATTAGTGAGACTGTCGTTAGACATACGTTCTGGACTCATTATAAATATTCTATGTGTATGCCCAAAACAGAAAAATACTTGGAAAGTTGGGTCTATGACAGTGTTTTAGGTAATTCTAGGATGCCAGGCATATGCTGGCCAAACTGTCAAAGTGTGACAGTGGCTTTAAATAAACAGAGAAATTAGTCGACTGATCTCAAAATTCAATTCAATAATATTTCATTTTCATATTTTATTTTTTGAATGCCTCCATTTTATTCTATTCTATGAGTAGAAAAAATGAATTGTGTTATTTACATTTCTCAAAAAAAAAAATCAACGTTAGCAGGTTGGAGCTTTAGAAACACACTAACAGTCCTATTCCTCTGAATATCATGTAAGCAGACAGCACTGTTAGGGCTTCATTAATTATAAATATTCAATCTTAGAATGAGGGGCGTGTCTCACCCGTGTCCAGGCCCTGTCGCAGCTCTTTGATCTTATTGGTAGAGCCCGACTTCCTGTAGATTCCCTCCGTGTAGAGGCCGTGCATCTCAATGTAGTTGATGAGTTTCTCCACCAGCTGGGGAACGGCGCGCTCCTCGCTAGTCAGACGGGACAACTCCAGCCCAAACTGACGGGACGACAGCTCGGGGTCGTACTTCAACACAGAGACAGAGAGTATGAGAACCAAGGCTGGAGCGTTCCTCGTGTTTACAGCCACCATGATGAGCCTCATGCTGCCAAGCTTTTAGAATTAGAATTCAACTTTATTGTCATTGCACTGTCACGAGTACAAAGCAATGAAATGTGGTTTGCATCTATCCAGAAGTGCTATACAGGATATAAATACTATTACAGGTGTATGTACAAGCAAAAAGTAATAGTTAGGGACTGTAAAAAGTTGTGTATAAATATAAATATGAATATGGGAGCTACATGAACAGATAATACAGATTATACAGGAATGTTAGGAAAAGGATTATGTATGTATTAGTGGGTGTCTAATACAAGATAAATAATGGCAGATAAGATTTACAGATTATATACAGACTGTATAGAAATTGTGTGTGAGTGTAAGGACAGTCCATATGTTATCATTGTATGGAGGGAATACAGTCCTTATAGTTGTGTCAGGAGGCGTTCAGGAGCGTGACAAATGTGGGAAAGAAGCTGTTCAGGTGCCTGGTGATTCTGGTCCGTAGACGTCTGTAACGCTTACAGATTTTCGTTACACATACCGAAAAAAAATAACGAGATAAATTTCAGATTTCATTAAAACCAAAAACCTGAATGTGTTTTCATTCATTTTAAACTATTTAATTGAGAAATGTGTAAATTACATCCATCAAGGTGAAATCTCAGCTCAGTATAAATGCAGCTTGAAAGGTTTCAGAGGTCTGTAACACCAGCATCACGGAAACGGAGGAACAAAGCAGGCAGGTCAGGATTTAAGATGCAAAGATGTTTAAAGGAGGGAAAGATCAAAAAATGTTTTAATGTTATAAAGCGTATCAGGGTGAGCAGCGGTCACCCCCACGGTGCAAATCTGGGAAATATGGATGAAAACAAAGCCTCTGGAAAAAAAAAGGGCTGTTTTCTCAGATATATTTTTCAATTTGTTTTTTTTTTTGTACCGATTTTTTAAGTTAAAATATTATGTAGTATTACGAATTGCATTCTTTGAAATTGTGTTTGACATTTTTTTCCACTTCAAGGCCAAAACAAAAGCTCCCTCTTATTGTAACAGTATAGACAAAAACTATTAATGCAAAGACCAAAGAATGCTCTTTCCTCCCTCCACCCTCTGTAGAGGGTGGAGGGAGGAAAGAGCATTCTTTGCATTTCATGTCTCAAATACCACTATAATCGAAACGTTTTTTTTGCCCTTGTTCATACATTAATTGAGTTAATTGAATAATATTTTATTATTCATACATGAATTAAAACTAAATAACTATACAGTAGCAACCATTCAAAATGGCCCCTCCCTGTGCGACTCCCAGCAGTATCCCCTCCAACTTCCAGCCACTGGAGTGACCTCTCTTCTTCTCCAGGGCGTGCATATGTTTTTACTCTGACTCCACCCTTTCACTGAATTACAGGCTCTGACCAGGAGATGGCGCTTCTCTTTAAATATTAATGTCCGCAAATCACGACAGAAGGAATAATTTAGTACAAATATTGATGTTTTAAAAGGAATCTTAGGGGACCAGCCAAGGACCCAGCAAGGAAAGTGGGGAAATTTTCAATGGCTGCTACTCTACTGTAAAAACGTCTTGTTATTATATTATGACAGCCCTGCACCCACGCAAAAAGGCCAGTCTGGGATTCCCGGTACGCCCGATGGTATCCTGCTCTGTTTACGTCCATCAGGCAGAGAAATTAAAGTGCAGTTCCCCCTGAGCAGAGCGTCAGTAAGGTAAAACACAGAGACGAAAGAGAAAATCTACATTCCTGCAGAACAACTGCCCTGAGCAAACAATAGCAGCTACAATGAAGGGAGTTTGGATCAAAGCATTGAATGCCTGAATTAATATAAACTCTTAGATCAATTTAAGACAAAAAAGTCGATGTTCACAGACACTAACCATCCATTATGACCGAAGTTGAATTCTTTGGATGTTTAAATGCCTTACAGACAATAACGGTTCTGAACGCAAACCAAACTCTTCATGTTTCACAATTGCAAAACATCTTGCTACTTCTGCTGAGCCGTTCGTTTTGCAGTTTTCTTTGTAAATATTGACTTCTGAAATCAGGAGTGACTCCTCTGGGTGTTAAATACTCCGAAGGAAGAAAAAGATCCATCTTTTAATTTGCCTCTGTGGATTTAGAACATCTAATAGATCCGCTGCATTCCCCAAACCAGAAAACCAAATGGACCCAACCCACCTTCTTACTGCACTTGGTGGTCATCCTGGAGCAGCACTTCCTGTGGCAGGCGTAGCGGCACACTGCAGACAAAAGCAAACAAAGCCATCAAAAAGCCATCAGACTCCCTTTCCTGAGCCAACAACTTCCATCCAGTGTAAGGATCAGAGACTAGTGTCAGCTCAGCTGTCTGCATCGTGGCAAAGATCGCTCTGTAACCAGATAGAAGATGGATTTCTGAAGGAGGAGGGAGCGTAATCAAATTTAGCCGACTTTCAGACCGGCATATGGAAAGGGTTTTAGTGGGACAGAGTGGGAGCTAAGACTGTGATGCAGTTAGCCTGAAGCTACATGTAGTGATGTTATATTCTGGGATCTACATGAATGATCTTAATAACATGTTATTCTTCTCTTTATACACTCTTTTTTCCCCTTAGAACAAGTTAATCATATTCATCTTCTGAATGCTTGTTTTTGGGTGTGTCCTTTGCTTACATTTGCAAACGCAGGCCCGGTCCATCATCCAGATGAGGGAGGAGCAGTACTCGCAGTAGGTGGGGATGCTGTACTGAGTGGACTTAAAGATGTGGCCATTATGTTCCTCCACCTGCAGGGGGCAGCAGACCAACTAGTCAGAAAACTGTAGCGCCATGGCAGTATGTTCATACGCATTCATTACAATGGAACAAAACACAGTTTTTAATTTGATACCACAGCAACACAAAGCGATGCAAGATTCTGAAGTGGAAGGAAAGTTTAGAGTGTTCTGATTTTTTACTGTTAAATTTCTGAATATAGTACCGCCTGCATTTAGCCTCATTTAGGAGAAAATGGTCAGTAAAATTGAACACAATTTTTTTTCAGATTTCTTGCATATTTTAAACTTAAATTAGCTCCGGGCTTTGACTAGGCCATTCTAATGCTGTGATTAGTGTAGCTCTGGCTGTAAATGTTAGGAAGGTGAGCCTCCATCTCAGGCCTCAGTCTTTTGCTCACTGGTTGAACCTCTCTGGAGTGTAACTGGCGAGACTGGTTTGTATTTTATTCCTTGTAGAATTCAAACCTAAACTTTCCTTCCACTTCTAAATTTTAGCCATCCTCTACAGAGTATATTTAAACTCACAATGTCAGTTTCCTTCTTCCTCGACTTCTTGCGCTCACGTTTTAGAGTCTGACAGGAGAAAGAAACATGGGTTACCTCCTGCATTCAAACTTTAAAGACAGCATTTCCACTCTGAGTGGACATTTTTAAGTGTCATCAACTAAAATTCCAAAACTGCTTAAACAGATCAGTTTTGGTTGTGTTTCATACCCTGCCAATGGTCCCCTCCGTCGGTTTGTACTCGGTCATAAATTCATCCAGGAAGACCTTGAAGGTGTTGACCCACACCTTCACAGGCGACTCGCTCCAGTCCCTCTGCTCCAGACGCATGGTCTTCTCCAGGATGTGCTCGAACAGTGCATATAGATCCTTGTAGCGGATGCTCCGCCCATCATCCATCTGATGGGGTTCAAATAAGATACCATAGAGCTTTACAGCTGGAATACAGCAGCTGGAAAACAGCCCTTCCAGGTCAAACGCCAGCCGAATGGCAGCCATCTTGCAGCCACTGGAGTGGCTGCAAGATGGCTCCATCCTTTCACTGAATTACAGGGTCTGACCAGGAGGTAACGCTTCTCTGTACATCTTAATGCCCACAAATTGTGACAGAAAGAATATTTTAGTACAAAGATTGATGTTTAAAAAGGAATCTTAGGGGACCAGAAAAGGACAAGCCAAGGGCCCATCAAGGAAAGGGTGAAGTTTATACAGTGATTGGACATCAGTGTTGTGTGTTGTCTCTTTGGCAGATTGACAGTTTAACCCGCCAATCACAAAAGCATTTGGTGTGTGGGTGTTTCACACCCTGATGACCAGCATCAGTTCATGCTGCTTCTCTGCTCTCTTGTTTCCTCTCCTCCTGTAGTTTCCTTCTCCTCTCCTTTGGACCATTTCTGTGGCTCATGTAAACTTTTGTCACTTTGAGGGAGGAACCAACACTACTAGAAATGTAAATAACCCAGAGTTCATTAAAACCTCACTGTCATCAATATAAACAGATGTTAGCTTGGCACATGATTCAAATGTAATATTATTTTAGAGCTTATTGCTGCTGCTGTCAAACACATTCATGATGGTGTTAAACTGAGTTATTCAATGATGACATCATTTAATCACATCATCTTTAAGAGAACAGCTCTTAGCCTGAAGATGCTTTGCTAACGTTGATCGTAGGTGTTTCTATCCGATCCATCCCGGAAGCACGATCCGTACCATCAGCTCCTTTGCGCATGTGCAACTAGATATACATCCGGGTTTCCATAAATAATGTAATTATGGTATTAAAAGTACTAATTTCAATCCATCACTCACTAAAGAATGCTTAGACACATCTTTATAAATGGTTTATGACTTTTCTGAGAGAATTTGGATACGTTATACATTTTCTCCATTTAACTGCTTATGTGACGCCATCATGGGACTTTCTCAGAGACGACCAGCAAAATATGATTAAACCATGTTTATCTGCATTTTAGTTGTTTCTTTCTTTAGATTATGCACTATATAACATACAGGTAACACAAAAGAAAACCATAAAACTCAAAAAGATGGTTTGAGAGGTGGTTGGTGGAGAGGTGGTTTGAGAGGGGCGTGAAGGAAGCCATCTATGTTAAGGAAGAAAAAACAACTTTAAACAGAGGGGGTGGACTCAGATTCCAGCTTTCAAAAACCTACAATGCAGCGATTGATTTGATTCCCTTCCTGCTATCATTCCCCTTACAGGGGAACAGAAGACCTCGCCTGTTCACTTCCTTTCAGAGACATAGACAGGTATGGGGCATTGCAGGCTAACAAAGAAACCAAACGACCCCCATTCCAAAGGGGTGGACCCATTTGTTTGTTTCAATTAACATGTTTCCTAAACCAAAACAAGGCTTTGTTGATGAACTATATAAAACCTGGAACTCAACACTATTCCTGACATTTTGATTTGAAAAAGCTTCCTGGATGGAAAAGAAACGTCTTCAAACTTGGAAACAAAGTCCAGTGGATTGTTTTGTTAAACTTTTTTGCAATCAAAAAGACTAGATTTATGTTTAAATTGAAAGCCAAAAAAGGCATCTTCCAGAAGTAGAGTTGGATATCATATAGATTGGGCACGGACGCGTGATAAAACAGAAAGGATTTAAATGCATTTATTTTCTCAGAAAATACACTATAAACCTTTTAGCACATTATATATTTAGTACGCTTGCCATTTTGGGGAAGGAAAAAATGTAATTTAGGTCTTTTTTTACAAAATAAAATCGATCCTTGATGTATATCAGGTTGTGCAAATGAGCTGATGGTGCGTATCGTGCATATCGGATCTGGTAGTGACCGTCGGAACTAGGAAGAAATCAGCACCATCAAGAGGCGGGATTTCCTGAATAGTAGCCAATCACAGGCAGTTTATTTTCTCAGATTGGGTCCACCTTCAAAGTGACAGAGGTTGACATGAGTCACAGAAGCAGGTCCACAGGAGAGGAGGAGTATGGACTGACCATGTATGGTTTTAAATCAGCAGGTTCCAAATGGACATGGACAGTAAATTAAAAGCATGTTTTACATTAAACTTGACTTTTGGAAGAAGCCTGTTTTCATAGGTGGTGAGGACTTACAGCGAGGGCTGTGGAGTACGAGTTAAAGATGTTGATCCTGAACTCCTTCAGAGCTTTCTTGAAGACAACATCTACCATGGTGTCCTTTGTACCGTCTTCTGAGTCCAAGTCAGCGATCTGTGGAAACAAACTTCTTTTGAGTTGTGAAAATCTAGGAATGGGGACTATGGCTGCTCTGGTGATATCAACTCATTTAAATAACATTTAAAAACTCTGGTATGAACTACTGGAGTTCTGTTTTTTTAACTCAGAGCTGATGAAACATTTTTTCTGTTTTGACTGAGTGTGTAGAATCCCACAAAGTGCTGATTGGTGCCAGGCTGGTTGGGTTTTTAAAGTGAGGCTGAGCGCATCACCCCGCCCCGCTCTGTGAAGCATTTAGGGAAAACATTTAATGACCTTCTTCATGAGAAATTCATTCATGCTGCGGTAGTCGTGGGCAGAGGTGAGGATGTGCAGCGAGTCGTTCTGCCACTGGGCGGGTTCCAAAGTGATGCTGCTGATCTTTAAGCTTCGCCGTCGTTTCATCTTTGGAGACGGCTCCTTGTTCTCCTTGGTGTCTCGCATTTCTCGAGAAGGAACCACTTCCAAGTCGGGGCTTCGTGGAGGAGACGTGCTTCCTAGAAGATGAAGGAAAAAACAGGCCATAGTGTACCATAACTAAAGTTTATTTACTATGCATATATGTATAAATAATTGATTATTTCTATTACCTGGCATCTCACCAGCTTCACTCCTGCTGGTCTGTTTCTCCCTTGACAGTTTTTTCTCGCCGTGTTTGGTCTTGCTCCAGAAACGCATCTTACCCCTCATCCTGCTGAACTCAAACATCCACAACAAAACAGGAGAAAGCAGTGATGAACCATGATTTTACTGCACAGGAAATAATAAAAACAACATGCTAAAGATCTTACCTGCCATCCTGACTGGAGGATTTCCTGAGGGTGTCCACTTTGCCCAGATCCCCTGATGACATGGTCTTATGGATCTTCTTCTCTTTGTGAGACTGCAGGGCAGAAAGGAGGTCAGAAAACTTTCCCTGAGTCAGTTCAATCTGGGAGGTGATAAACAGTATGGAGGGAATTTTCTTCCAATTTTGCTACAAAAAAATAAAATGCACAAATGTATGTTTGAAACGGTTCAGAAAGTAACTATTTTTTCTTAGGTTTTGTTTTTTTAAATAATTCCAATCTTTTTACAGTAGTAGCAATTCAAAAGTCAGTACTGGCCATTCCCAGCCGAATGCCAGCCCACTCCCCTGCAACTCCCAGCAAAAAACCCTCCATAAACCCAACATATTTTCTGATTCTGCCTCCACCCTTTCACTGGATTACAGAGTCTGACCAGGAGATGATGTTTCTCTTTAGATCTTAATGTCCACAAATCATGATAGAAGAGAATTTTAGTACAAAGATTGATGTTTAAAAAGGAATTGTAGGTGACCAGTCAAGGAAAGTGGGGACATTTTAATTGGCTACTACTGTATATTGTTATACATTTTTGTATTTTTTAAACATTATCTTTAAAAATGTTTTTTTCAGAGTTTTGTTTTTAATTTAGTTTTTTTCTAATTTATTTTTATGAATTACAATCTTTTTAAATGGTGTTTTACAGATCAGAATCTCAAACGCTTGCTGTTCACCAATAAAACCAGTGGTTACCGTGGTTACAGAGACCAATAGAAACATGTTCCCACTCCTCCCTCAGTGTAAAGAAGTAAAAAAGAGAACATGATCTTGAAAACCCAATTCACTAAGACTTGATAATAAGATTTCAAAAAAACTAAATCTGAAAAAAAAAAATCCCTGTAATCGTTTTTGAATATCCTTTGAAATGAAATATATATATATATATATATATATATATGAATTGAGAAAACAGTAGCTATTCTCAAAATGTTTTTTTAGTAAGAAGTTTTTCTTATTTTTATTTCTGTAATACATTTTCTTTTAACTTCCATTCATTTGTTTGCAGCAGTAATGGAACAAAATTCACTCCATAATTTTATAGATCCTCCCCAGGACAATGTCTTTGGTCACATTTCTGCCATAAAGAAAGAGAACATCTTATTTCCAGATGAGAATAAAACCCAACACAAAGCAGTGCATAACCCTTTAATTTCTACAAATGACAAAGGTTTGGTGTGTGCAGTAGTTAGACCCCTGAAATCCTCCCATGTTTTGTCCTGTTAGCTGAGCCTCTGGACATGTTCTCCAGACATCAGAAAGAGAAACTTCTTCCAGTCAATCAACCTTTACATACAGATTACTTTAAGCAATTAAAGTATTTTCTAGGTCCGCAGATCAAAAGAAAATAAAGCATCTTAAAAAAATGCCTGAAAGACTCAATCACTGACAAGAAAACGGGGAAGAACACCTGATAAAATGAGACAGTGGGAAAAGTAAAATACTGAAGATAGTCTGAGAAATTCCTCACATGGGATTAAAGCTAAAAAGATGATTTTTTTTTCTTAAAATGAATCCTAAAAAATGGAGGCCGCCAGTCCAGAAGGACAAAATGTGGCTAACATCGCTCAGTTCCTTTTAGCAAACATAGAGGCTGGACATGGTTGAATGCAGAGAGCTGATCAAAGCAGTAACCACCGTTCAAAAGGCCAATAAAAGGCAAAAAGCATTTAACCTTTGTTGATTTGGAACAACAGCACTGCTGTATCCTGAAAGCTGACCAGATTTCATCGCTCTATTATTCCCTTTTACATGTAAGAAGTGAATCCTCCTCAAGTTTTTACACCATTTGAACCGTTGAGCTGCTTCCGTACAGAAAGGCTTCCTCATATCTGTGTATGGGACTTCTTATGCTCTCTCCATGTTCAGTTCTGCACTGAACGGCGCTAGTCCTGCTTCAAATATTCTTCCTGGTCTGTCAGAGAACAGCCGGATCTATAGAATCAAAAGCATCATTTAGCATCTAGGTGATTCCTGTAGGCATTTGGTCGCAGTGGCTAACGTATACACCACACACCTTTTCCAGAATCTAATTTTCTTTGCAATTCCTAATCATGCACCAATTTTGTGTTGGTCTATCACATCAAATCTGAATATACTTGTGGTTTAAGAAAGAGAAACTGAAGTTGACCGTAAAAAGACATTTACAGTAAATTGCTAACAGCAACAGAACAGGAAGACAAATGTTTGGCTAAAAATGAAGTTAGGAGATGAATTTAAGTGTTTGATGGAAGTTTTAACAGTTCATAGCATGCAGGAGAGGCATGCGGTGCAACATGCGATGCATGCCAGGATATAAGAGGACAAAGCCTTTTACTGCATGACATGACCTTTGTAGCCAGAAAATAATCCAATATTTAGTAGTTTCTAATAATATAATGTCCAACCCTGACAGTTTGAATCCTTCATTTTCATTCAAAAGTGACAGAAAACCATTTTAACGTAATAAAAAGAATATAAAACAAAGACACCTCTAGATAATTTGACTACAGTGGATTTAAATCCCATTGTTGGCAGTAAATCCCTCTTTAGAAAGAACAGGTGAGATGAGGAAGGCGGTGATGTCTGGAGACGACTTAGGATCCGTTATGTGCAAGACCATGCTCTGCAGAAGGCAGGACTTCTTCACCATCACAGGTGACCGGAAACATAACGTGTCAATTAGGTTAGTTCAGAAACACCCGTCTGTGCAGCAGCCGGTGGTGAAAGTGGGATTAGCATTGTTAAAGGAGCTCCGCCCCCTTCGCCGCATGTGCTCAGATCCACCCAAGGAAAAAGAAAAACAGGGTGGTAGAAGGCGGGGGAGCAGAGTGGACAGGAAGCTCGTCTGGAGGTCAAGGGACCCCTGCAGATCTGGTGTTTTACCATCTCAGAGTCACTGTGACAGTCGTGGTCACGGTGGGCTCGTGGGGGAGACAGGGAGGGGGGCAGCGTGCAGGAGTGGGCGGGGACGTAGTATACATCATCGTCGTCGTCCGACTGGGTGGCCCCCTCGGAGTTACAGCGGGTGAGGAAGTCGGAGCGCGTCCGGGACATTCGAGCTTTCTTTTTGGGGCCGGGTGGGCCCACCTGCTACCAGGTAACCACAGACACATCAGCACTCTGAAGCCACGGACGTGTTTGGAGGCAACTCATGCAGCTGGTTACAAAACTTTCAACATGAAAATGAATGTGACCTCCGTGTGTGCATGCAAAAGATACAGCAGGTTTCTCACCTCTCTGTTTCTAGATCCTGCAGATTTAGAGTCGTCTCTGTGCATAGAAAGAGAGAGAGATCTCTCCTGGTTCACCAGGTCCTTATCCGACCTGCAACAGATAGCCAAGTTCACCGTCAACAACCGGAAAAATTGCCTTCCTCCCAAAGTCTACATCTTCTCTATTCATTTCAAGTGTTGCTTTTGAATCTAGCATAGTGCATTCACTTTTCTACTTTTCTAGTGAAATTTGTTTCATTAATGTAGCAAAAAGGTGTTTTGTAATTCATAATGATAAAAATGCAATCCAGAGATGACGTTTCAAAGAACGTCTTAAGCAAAAAAACAAACTGAAAAAAATAGCTGTTTTTTGGGGATTTTAATTTTGAAATTACATTTTTCCAGTTTATTTTATTGATATTTTTATTGGTTTCTAATCATATTTTCCCCAGATTTTCTATCAGATTAAATTATAAAAAATGCACTTTTTATTTGATGAGAGTAAGTTAATAGAATTTGACCTGTTTCATTAAAAAAATTTAAGTTGTCAATCTTAAATCTGAAAAAAAAAAAATACAAAAATATAAAATATATAAAAAAAAAAAAAAAAAAAAAAAAAAAAAAAAGCAAAAAAAGTGTAAATAACATTTGAAATAAATTTGCGAAAAAATGGCGAAAATAAATAAAATGATGATTAAGAAGTCTTTCAAAGCTATATTTCTGGATGCATTTCTTTAAAATTTCAGGTAAAAACATATTATTCGCTAGCAACAAAAATGGAACAAAATTCACTCCGTATTTCTTTGGTTATTTTGAGTTATATTAAAAAAATATATTTTTGTGTTTGTTTTTTTGTGAAAATCAAACACAAAACCAATATCTAAAATCTTAAATAAAAACTGAGGCGGGGGAAATAAAATATTGAAGAGACTTTTGTATTCAGTCGCAGACGGCCGTTTGTTTAGGTCCGGACTTTGACTAGGCCTTTGGAACACATGAATTAACTATAAAACGACTATAACATTCCATCATTGTGCTGCGTTCAGTGTCGGACCACAGAGCTTCAACAGAGACTGAATACAGAAAGAATCATCAAGCTTATTCCATGACTTTTGCTTTCTAACTGTCCTCTGATGCCTTCATGCAACGGCTGGATTTAGACTGACATCAAATGCCTTTCACAGGGAGCTGGCTGTGTTTTTTCATGGGTGTGTGAATAACAGTGCTTCACGCCTGCACATCACATTTTTCTTATCAGTGGTTGCGAAATGACAGGCTGAAGGAAAGGGAGCTGTTTTAGCAGGCAGTGGAAGCAGAGCGGTGCCAAACCTTTACTCACTTGGAGAAGGGCAGCTTGCGTCTGGGCTGAGGAGCCGCAGCTCCGGAGGGTTTCTCCACCATGTTGACAATCACAGTCTGAGCGGAGCTCTTCTTCTGGGCTTTTGGAGGCTTGGTGTCTAGTGTCTGGCTCGGAGCCTCCTGCGCTTGGCGGATGGTCTTCCTTTCCTGTTTTGCTAAGAGAGCAGAGGGAACACTGGACTTTGGTTGGACATCCACCTTTGAGGGACAAAGTTCTGGTTCCTCCGGACCCTCTCTACGCTTTGAGGGCTTTTCCATCCCAACTGCTTCATTGTTTTCCTGTGGGAAGACTTTAGGTTGCTCTTTGTGTGTTGGTCCCTTTAAGTGTTCTGTAGCAGAGGAACAGGAGCCAAACGGCTGAGGAGCTGCCAGCAGCTCGCCTTCCTCCACGGGACTCTCTTTCTGCATACTGATCAGCACCACCACAGGCCTCCTGGAAACCGACTCCTTCCGGTCTTTGAGAGATCTGCTGGGACTTCCCTTAGTGGGTTTATTAACCGGACTCTGGTCAGAAGCGATGTAGAACTTTGCCCTGGGTTCCTCTGACTCGTTTGTGGGTTCCCTCACAGGTTTCTCATTGTGGTTTGAATCTCTGAGAATTTGGGTCTGTTGGTGAGTCTGTTTAGAGACGGGTCCACCAGAACCTTCCGTCTCCATCTCATCCAGGCTGAGCATCTCGAAGCTGCCTTGACTAGCCGGCGATCCCTGAGGTAAAACTTGATCATGGTGGTCCTCCCTCTGAGGGATGTCAGAGACCACATCCTCTGACAGAGAACCCCCCATGCAGGTGGTTCGGACTTTAAGGAGCTCCAGAGAGAACTGAGCCTGCTCCAGCTCTCTCATACGCCTGCTCTCTCGCTTTGACCGGTTCTTATGGCTCATCTCTTCTACGTTCCTAAATCGCTCAAAGTCCTCCGCTCGTTCCGTCTTGGTTGGATCGGGGTCCTCGGACGAGTCCACACTGACAGAATTGTCCAGTCCAGATGAGACAAAGTCGTCCACAGTCCCAGCGTCCATCTCTGTGTCTGGTCTGTTGAGTGTTTGGCTCTCCTCCTTTAGATGTTTAAACCTGGAGACAATTTTAAATAAAGTGTTAACATCCTAACAGAGCTAAAGAAAAAAAAACTATACTTTTTTTGGCCACAGGGGGGCAACAAAACAACAGGATTCATTCATCCTTTAAAAGAAAATAATCAGAAAGAGAGAAAATAGTGAATTGCAGAAAAACATTGTTATAGGAAAGCTGATATAAACTTATTTTCAGTTTTTGGCAATAAAGCAAACATTTTAGCACCAACTACTTTTTATAAAGCCAAGAACCAGTTCGAATTCATTCTGAATATATGAGCAATACTTTAAAAACGTCCTCTAGGAGGCTGGAGGTTCGGCTTCAGGCAAAATCCTGGCTAATGCTACGTTCACACCTCACACGCTTCGGGCAGCAAAAGCAGCCGGTTTTCTGTCAGGCCAGCATACCCACAGTCAATACGCATGTGCAAGACGCCAGATCTGCGTTTTGTACGAAAAAAATAGACTTTAAACTCCCTTGATGGGTTTGTATCTCCTTAGTCATGTACAAAAAAAACTATTTAAGGTCAGATGGCCATACCCTTCAAAAAACACCAAAAAGTAAGCAAGGAAATATTTTTTTTGTCCATGACTAAAGGGATACACACGTACAAAACTAAAGGGATAAACGGGGATTGACTATGGGTATGCTGGTCTGATCGGGTATGCTTATCTAACAGAACATCGGTTTACATGCAAAGCGCATCAAAAGGTCCTGCAGTGCGTCTCATGAGCTTCTGAGGCGCGCAACGCCCTTCATAAGCAGCAGCTGCTGTAGTTTGAAAAATTTAACTTGTGCTGCTCGATGCGCCACATCAACCAATCAGAGAAGCTGATCTGGGAGCTGGCAGGGAGACAGACACAGCACTGCTGATGCAGAGCGCTATGATCACTCCTCTGAAACAGTTTATCAACGCCTAGATTGACATAAAATGTTGAAACCTGCCAGCAGAATATGTTTGCTTTTATTATGCTATTGCCTGCAGTTTGGATTACGTACATGAAAAACGCTAACATCTACTTCCAGCCGTGAAGAACAGTAGCAGAAAATCTCCAAGAGGCGAGCGGGCCTAAGGCATCTGCAGCTGGGGACTCCCAGTGACAGCGCACCTTTATTATGTGGGGGCAGGTTTTTAATCTTGATGAAATGACTGCACAGACGAGGTTTTCAGGTGAACTTTCTCACTTAAAAACATATTAAAACTACTTTATATCCATTCATCACAGCAAATATAGCAAAGCGGCTCTCTGCCATTGAACACAGGAGCAGCAGAAGCTTGTTTGCGGCTGAAAACGCGTTTGGTGTCAAAGTAGCACAAGTGTTCAACTAATAGTAGCATGGTGGTGGCAGCGTCATGCTGAGGGGATGTTTAGCAATAGTACAAAGTGGGTGAAGGAAAGTCTGAGGAGAACTTCCTCCCAACCTATAAACTTGTTTTTAAATCATGTTAAATCAGTTGGAAACTTTAACAAAAAGCATAACGAAAACAAGCAAACTATTTAAACTCTTCTGTTTTATGATAATAAGCCAGAGTTTTGATGAAAAAAACTCCTCCATCATCGAGGAGGTAAACTAAGCAGTAACACGTTTGGATTTTTAACCCGTAACTTAAAAATTGGACAAAATCCGCAAAAAATACGAACTCCTTTTATATTAAGAAAACAGTTAGAGGTAAGATAATCATAGATTCGATCTAATCCACATCCTCATGCATAACCTCACCCACCTGACTCGGGCCAGATATCCTCGGCTCATGGCCTGGAGCTGCGTTACAGATTGGCGTGCTCTACAGAACCGGTTCTTTTCCCTGACCCGTCTCCACGCCGTCTGAATCATCACAGCCGCCCGCACCCTCCGATGGTGGCAGCAGCTCCTCCAGCGCCGCTGTATGGTGATGGCAGAGGCCCGCCACTGCAGGAACCTCCTGCGCTCCTTGTATCCCCTCCACGCTGCCTGCAGACAAACCGCTGCCGCCTCCTCAACGCTGGAGTCAACCGCAGACTGCCTGAGGAGGCAGGAGCGCCACCAGCGCTGCAGAGAGATAGAGAGAGAGAGGGGTTAAAATGGAGGTGATGGAGAACATATTTCCATCTAGAGGAGAGTATTTCAATCTTCTAAGGGTCTGAATATGATAAATGTAGATCTGGAGGAAACATAGCTGTGGGACAAACCCCCCCACCACATCCAATCACCTGGATGACCTGCGCCGCTCGTCTCATGCTGACAAAGTGTCTTCTCTCCAGGACGGCTCTGAAGCGCCGCTGCAGCATGACAATTCGCCGTAGCACTTCCTGGTGAAGCAGGGTCTGCAGACGCTGGCGCTCCGCCTCCCGCAGGAACACCTAACATTGTAGCGAAAGATGAGCAGTTGAGAAGAAAGGATGGAAGAACATGGTATCTTATCTCCAGGAGACACACCATGGTGTGGCCCACTTGGTAGCCAGCAGGGGGCAGGTGAATCCGTCTGAAGAACTCTCTGATCCCAGACTTGGTGGGGCTTGTTTTCCGAGGAAGCAGCACATGAAAGTGACTCACAAACTCCTGGATGACAGAAACAGAGGATGTTAACGACAGAAAGCGGCTGCTTCCTCTGCGGCGTAAAGCATGCAGGTCCAGAGAGGATCACCTGGAAGGTGTACTTGATGCTGTATCCCGACTGACGGATCCGGACCGTTTCCAGCATTCCCGTGTACCTAAGCTGTCTAAGAACCAGGCTGTCGTTGAAACGTAGCGGCAGCTAAAGGAACAGGGGAAGCAAATGAGTGGGTAGCAAGTAAACAGAAGGACTGTTTTATGAGGACTTCATTAGGATAACAAGAGTTGTAGGAAAAACCTTCTCAGCGTTGGAGCGAATGCACTTAACGAAGTACGGCTCCGACTGATCCAGAGTCTCCATCAGCTTATTGAGGGAAGCCTGGACACAGAACCACAGCTAGGTGAGCTCACATCCATCCACAGCCATACATCCATCCATGTTCTACTTATTTTGTTGTAAAACATCAGTTCTTCCAGCAGAGGGCGTCACCAACCTGGAACTGAGCACTGATGCTGGGTGGTTTCTTCTTCTTGTGCAGATGGAGCAGTGACTTGGTGATGCGGTCGTGGAGCGTCACGCTGCTCAGATAGCGCAGAGACTTCACATCCAACAGGTGCTGCAGAAGAAGCAGGAACCACATCAATCTTCATTTAATGGATCCCTGCTACAGTTTTCTGAACTCATTGTTCTTTCAGGTACATTTCTTACCTTAGGAAGTGTTGGTTTGCTTTTGCAGTTTTTGTTTCTCCTAAATAAGAGATGCAGTGGTTTAAATAGCTGCACAAACTGCTGAATGATGTTTTTATGAGTGTATTTTACTCACAGTAGGATACCCTGAGCTCTCTCCAGGAGTTTGCTGCTGCCCAGGTTTAGGAAGATCCCTTCATCCTCATGGACAGAGTTTCCTGGTGAAGAGACGCGACCCGACCGCAAGCTGCGACCATTACACCCAACGCCGTAGCCATCCCTACACAGGGACATGAAGGAGGAGCACAGTGAAGGATAGTGATAAAGACATCATTTCTGTTCCTGTCATGATCAGATGAGCTTCTGTTCTCACCAGCTGGCCTTCTCATTCAAGGCGTTGGTGCCTTGGAGGTCCGACAAAGGTGTTCGCGGATTCTTCCGTGCAATACCTGGAATTAGAGAAATCAGAGGCTGATGGGCTTTTGGTGTTTAATTGAACAGATTTTTCCAAGGGTCAAACAAACAATTACCGGTACTTGGATTGTATTATTATACATATGAAGCACACAGAATTTTGCACTTATAACCACTAAACATATTTAGTTAAATGTTTATCCATAAGTTAAATCTGAAACTTAGTGGATAGGGAATATGCTTTCCAGCATTGTGTAAACATTTTAGACCCCCGCTGTCATTAAAAACAAGCAGGACCAGCAGTCAGATTCTCTTTAAGGAAAATAGGAAAGCTGATCACTAAAGTTAAGCTTCAGCTCCAGTTTTCCCAGCTTAAGTCCAGTTTTATCGCTCTTGGAATAAAACAACTTTTTCCTCCTTTTTACACTTCAACTTGGACTTGTCTTCGCTGGGAGTTTCACACTCGCTCACCTCCATTGCTTCAGCTTACCAACCAATTGTTTGGAAAACATGACAAGAAATCTTATTTTGAATGTTAGCAGAAAAACATCCCACGGATTTCCCTCATGCTTTTCATGCGAATTACAAAGAGATACAGTCAATTTGAGGGATAAAAAATAGGGAAAACACAATGAGACACCCAGAAAGATCCAGAATATTGAACTGATACTGAGCTGCTGCAGTGCGGACGAACTCAGCTTTTTATGCAGTTTTCATTTCTTTTTCACAACAATACCCAGAATAAAAACATCAAGGAGAGATTTATCATTTAACTTACTGTATTTTTCATCTTTACACCTCTGAAGGATCTCAAGGCTCCTCTGGTGAACCGGGTGATGTATGAAACTGAAGCTGTCAACAGCTTTGACCACAGGGCATGGCCCTGCTGCATCATTCCCTAAAACAGGAACAAAGAAAAGCATAAGATCCAGGCTAAGCTCCGACTGTTTTAGTAGTTTTAGCCTGAGAGCTGTTATACGTAAAACACTCCACATTACATTTGAACCTAACCTGCTTATAATTAACTCACTAAACCTGCCCTATGGGAGCAACCAGGTATGCCCTGACCAAGATCATTAATGGTGATAACGAGGTTTGAATAAACATTATCCAATAATCTGATTAGTAGCCTCAAAGTGCATTAAAATCCCACTAAACTGTACAGATTTACATGGTCTACTTAAGTGCTGCAATTTCTGATTCTCAGGAATGATGCTAACAGTTGCATTAGCAGTTAGTGCAGGAAGGCTTCAACAGGTTCCTCCAACAGAGTTAGCTTGGTTCAGAGATCCGCAAGAATTTTGTTTTACTGTCTAAAACACAGATTACGTTATTATTTGTGTCTAAAAATATACAAGTCCTTCCACATGCAGCCACAGCAGTGCTAGGCTAACATTAGCATGTTTTCTCATTTTTTGATAAGACTTGTTGATAACAGGAATATTTTAAAGCTATGACAATGTATTCCAAAAAAGTTAATAAACAATCCACTGGACTTTGTTTCCAGGTTTGAAGACGTTTCGCTTCCCATCCAGGAAGCCCTTTCAATTCAAATGTCCAGGTTTTATAAAAAAATTTAAAACGGATGAACGGGTCCACCCCTTTGGAATGGGGGTTCGTTTGGCTTCTTTTGTAGCCTGCAATGTCCCATACCCGTCTATGTCTCTGAAAGGGGAATTGCTGGCCTGGCTGAACAGGTGAGGTCTTCTGTTCCCCTGTAAAGGAGTGGGGTTTGCGATAAGTGTTGCACTGATACCGATAAAGGTATCGGGCAGGGACCCCTTCCAGCACTAAAATGGTGGTATCGGTATCGGACAGTACCAACAAATAGGGCACTGATACCATTTTGAGAGCCAAAAGTTTATTGAACTGTTGTCACCCATAAAAAGTTCAACTGGATTCACTTTGTATTAGTCTGTTTCCTGCTTCACAAAGGTAGGCAGCAGCTTGACAAAGCCATCCACATAGTGTGCAGTTCTTCATATATACACACAAACATCAATTTCAAACAGATGATATCGGTATGGTAACGGTCGATAGTGGACAGCCAGGTATCGGGGCCAAAAAATGGCATCGGCGCAACACTAGTTGGGATGATGGCAGGAAGGGATAAAGTCAATTGCTGCATTGTAGGTTTTAGACAATGCAGTTGTGTTCAGTCAATTTCTTCAAGTTTATAATGTCGTTTCCAATGTCGTAAAACTTTTAAGCAGTGTTTTAGCTGCTGTCTGTGTGGTCTGCATCTCCTGACACAGACAGCGTTCTCATCAGTGCACGCCAGGTCATTTTATAAAGTGAAATACTCTTAAGTTAGAGAAAACACATTTAGGTAAAACAATGTAGACTTTAAAATGGTCTTCAAAGATAGCACTTCAAGTTATATCCAATTTGCTAGCTTGGTAATACTAGTGACCACAGGCAGGACATCAAGCAATTGGATCAGATGCTGAGATCCATTTGCGATGCTCATTAAAAAATGTCATTAATTAAAACCCAGATAGGATAAGATTCTCCGTCATTTCAAATCTCCGGCTCATTCTTCGACTGTGCCTCACCGGGCTTTTTGTGGGTGTGTCTGCGGCCGGCCTCCCTGAACGCCACCATGGCTCTGAAATATGCCCGCAGCACGGCCCAGCGGAAGGTGGCCACGGGGTCAATCCCCATCAGGCCACAGATGAAGGCATTCTTGCTGCTCTTCAGCAAGGCAACGATATCGGGCCTCATGTGGTCCGTGTTCTTCTCCCTGAAGTCCTGAATAAAAGAGCAGATTTTAGGGAAAAACAATTGGAACAGTTTTCTTTCTGAGGAGTTTTACTGTTTGTTAGGCAGTGGAAAACATTTAGTCATGGCCGAATGTTTTACTGCTGGTACTCTATAATTATGGGAATGGAGTAAAAAGTAACGTTTCACAATCTCAAACATGTTTTTGTTCAAAATACATTTTTTTTAACATGTCAAATAAATAATTATTAATCCCAGCAGCATTACAATATAACTTGATAAAATGTGAAAAGCTCTGAAATTCGCCTCAATAAAAATATACCAGAAATACCAAAATAATGGGGGAATAAAACCAAATCCCCCATTTTTGGCCAATTGGCCAAACTTTATGAAACAAAGTCTGCTGTTATAGAGGGGAGTGGTGGTGGCAGCATCATGCTGAGGGATTGGTTTTCCTCTGCAGAGATGGGGATGCCGATCAGAATTAACAGAATCATAGATGAAGATAAACACCTGGAAATCCTGGGAAAAAATCTCTTAAAGGACCAGAGCAGAAATACAGCAAAGACTACAGCTGTAGGACCTGTGTGTCTGAAAGGCTAAACACTTAAATCCAACAGACTATATATTTATAACTGCTTTGCAATGCAGCCTGACTGTGTCAACCAACAAACTACAAATATTTTGTCACGTTACTTAAGTAGACATTTTGGCTATCTATACTCTTTTGCAGTATTTTTTTTTTTTTATGTTTTACTTCTACTCCTTACATGTTAAAAATGTTATTTTTGTTTCATTTGAGCTAATTTTCCTTATGGCCCGTTAGTATTTAAAATAAATAAAAAACATTAAAATAATTGTTTTCATCCAGACAATTTCTTTATGGATGGACTCGGTGCTGCCCCAACTTGTTGCTCACCACATACCAAAATAAATTGTTTTTCCAAGATGATGTAAAGTTAAATTTGACACCGTAAGAAAATTAAGTAAATGTAAAAATGTTCCTTCAATAGGGTAGTGCAGAAAAGCATCTGTCTTCAACATTTTTTTCCTGCATTACTTTTACTTTTATACTTTAGTTTAAAAATGGTACCTTTACATTTACTTGATTAAAAAGCTTAATTTGATCCTCTAACTTCTCCAAAAGTGTTTTTAAATAGTAGAATTTATACTTCTAGTTGGGTAATAAACTTTTGACACCTCTGGCTATGATGCGAGGAGAATGGACCGCGTTTCCATTCCGAAAAACTTTGCAAAACTGCAAAACAAGATAATTTTAGTTAAGTTAAAGCCTTATTGGTTTCAGCACCGCAGCTTTTCCACAGCCGTGGAAACCAGCTGTTATGGATTTATATCATATAGCCAAACTGCAATATGCTGGGCCCGCTGCAGCACATGTGCTACTTATCAGCACACAGCTGGGAAACAGAACCGGGTCCACAGAGCAACAAGTAGAAGAAGCTGTTGGTATTTCTGACAGCAGCTCATACAGTGATCCTTTAACCCTACTGTACTTTTGGTAATCTCATGTAATTTAGATGCCACTTACAGAAACATTAACCAGGTAAACAACGCCTTAATGACTTCTGGTTGCAATAGGAGCAGCTCTCTCACTATACCCAGATTTCCTGGCTGCATTCGATGAGAGAATGTTTCTCTAGGAGAAGCTTCCCAATCCTGAGCGCAGCTGTAAATCTTCCCACAGGACAGCTGTGCTAAAAAGCTCTGAAACGGATCCATTTGCAGTGTAACACAACAACCTTTCAATGAATGGGATCTTTTCTAGCAGCTGGAAAATGTAGAGAAAAATTCATTTTTAGATTTGAGCGAGGTTTATTTCAAGGTTATATAAAAAATATGTGTAAAACCTTTAAAATAAAGATCAAAGGGAAGCTGACAGATGCTTCAGTTTTATAGTCCATTTTTTTAATTCTATTCAGTTTATTTCTAAAGCACCAAATCACAACATGTCATCTCAGGTCACTTTACAGTTTAACCAGATCATCCAGTCAGATTGATTCAAAGTTTTCTATCTAAGGAAAACCAGTTGATTGCATCGACTCATTGACTCTTCAGCAATCCCTCACACTAAGCATGCTTGTAGCGACAGTGGAGAGGAAAAACTCCCTTTTAGCAGGAAGAAACCTCCAGCAGAACCAGGCTCAGTGTGAGCGGCCATCTGCTGAGGCCGACTGGGGTTCAAGGAGACAGAAGCAGACAATTTTCAATAATTGTCACACTCTAATTCCCCTGCAGTCTAAATATGACATGGATCATCCCATCAGCTTCTCCTCAGAACGAGAAAGATAAGAGAACATGAGAGCTAGCTGCTCGATGTCAGCCACTAGCTTAAACTCCAGGCTAATCTTACCAACATGCAAGGATGATCAAAAAACTAAATAATTAAGTTGCCATGACAATGGTAATATAGCATAGGTTGTAAGGTAGGAGAAGCCTTTTCTATCCCATCATCAAATTTAAAGAAGTGGAGATTGCTAAAACATTCTGTTTTGCATAGATGCCTACTGTGAAGTAATGAGACTAATGTTAAATTGTAAATAACGGGTCAATCAGCTGGATACTGATCCAAACTAAACAGCAGACCCACAGAGAAGAGCTTCAGTGGAACCACAATCTACCTTCTTAGTCTTCATCTCAGTCCCTCAGCCTCAAAATAAGAAAAGCAGCTCAAGTTGTCTCACCTTGACTCCGTACTTGACTTTACCAGCATAGTGCCGGATGATGAAGGCGGGCTCCATGACGGCGGGGAAGTCAATGTAGCTGTTTCCTTCATGCTGACGCTTGAACTTGTCCAGCAAGGTCTGATTGGAGGCCTGTGGGAAACTGGACGGACATTTTTCATGCAGCGGCGGACAAATGTCCCTGTTAAACTTAAAGCAGAAAGAAAGCTCAGCTTATCAGGCATTATAAGTGGAAGGGACATCTGACCTCCTCTTTACATTAAATGTTACGACAACTTAATAAAGGGAGAATATCTCAACCTGCAGCGACTCTGCTGCTCCAAATGAAGGACTCCAGAAAGCTTCAAACCTTAAACCCATAAGGAAAATATTCCCTCACAAAATCCCAGATGTGGCCCAAATCAGCCCCTGGGGCTCTGCTGCACTTTCTTCTTTGGTGGTTTCACCTTTGATTCATGACATCTCAGCTATCAGCTACTAACCTTTGCAGGCTGGATCAACATTCCAGGAGACATTTCAGATCATCTACCTCAACTCCCTTCGCCTCGTAAAAACACCGCAGGTTAAAGAATATCCTCCCGGGTCATAAGGTTCAATGTTGTTGTTGTAGAGAAGACATCATACCCCCCCCTCTCGTGAGGCCTTGGATCCCCGCTAGCTTCACCAACTGTGAACATTTTAACATCAACCAATTTGGTAACAAAGACTGTAAAGTGTGGCTGCCTCTTCTCTCTTTCGCCTTCCATAGGTCTGCTGTGAGGTAGTCTACTTGCCCTCTGTTCTATGGACACCTCAGAAGGTTTTTGTTAGACAAGATTAGTACAGGTCAGGCTGAGATGGTTAAAACTAGGTTAGGTCATGAAATAATATCCAACTTGCTAAAATGTAGCAACAACTTTAAGAGACCAATTAGCCCAACAATCATGGCTTTAGATTGTTATATTTTTATGCAAGAAAATCCACCTCAAAACTTGAACTCTGCAGAAAGTTCATCAAGATTACGATCCTGCCCCAAAATATCTTTTGCCGTCTGAGCCGCTCAGACCCCTGTACACCGGCAGAGCGCTGTCACTGGGAATCCTGTTCAACAGCAGCCTCTGGACGGGTCACTTCTTCACAGTTTTCCTCTACTGTTTGTGGCAGCTGGAAGGAGTTTTTCACTTACGTAATCCAAACTGCAGGCACCAGGATAATAAAATTGAACATATTTTGCCAGCAGGTTTCGACATTTGAAGTTAATTTAGGCGTTAATAAACTGTTTCAGAGGAGTGATCATAGCGCTCTGCATCAGCAGCACTGCGTCTGTCTCCCTGCCAGCTCCCAGATGTGGCGCATCGGGCAGAAAAAGTTTAATTTTTCCAACTCCAGCATCTGCTGCTTCTGAATCGTGTCTTGCACGTCAGATGCCCAGAAGCTCGCAAGGCGCTGCTTCGGCTGCTCAGGTGCTTCATGATGCGGCGCTCCTGCTGCTCTAAACGCGCTGCAGGACCTTTTCCTGCGCTTTGATGCTCGTCAGTACTGCTGCTTCTGCAGCGTGTGGTCTGAATGTAGCATAAGCCCCCTTTGTTTTTATGGCAAGATCCTGTCTGATTCTTACTTGCACTCCTCGTCCAGCAGGTGGAACAGAGCCGTGGGTTTCTTGCTGATGAGGTTGAGGCAGCCACTGTTGTCGATGTAATCGATGTTGTGCCACGTGATACCCTCCGCCCGGTACTCCTCCTGCGAAGAGAAAACACCTCCATGAAACCGTAATGCTGAAAGTTAAGAAGTGACTAAAAGATTATTACAGTCACTCAGTAGAACCAATACGCTTCTTAGATCATCTATAAACATTGCATAAGAGTCAACTCAATATGATTGAAATGGGGTTTAGATAAAAAGAAAACCTTTCCTATGGTTAAAACAGAACTATAAAATGCAGTAAAACCTCTCCATCGGTTACTTTTTTAATCATGTTTGTGTATTTTGTCAAATAATTGCCCAAAGCATCTATTCTGCCAAACATCTGCCTGTATTTTACATGGGCTGAAAAAGCAGCTGTGGCTAACTACTGGACGCCCTCTTATTCTATGGCTCTGGGTTAAACTGTTTATTAGAACAGATTTTAGTTTCTAGCCTTTAAAGAAGGGGTGGCTAATCCCAGTTCCTGTAACTTTTAGTTCCATCCTTGGTCCAACACACCTGAATCAAATGGCTGAGTTTCCTCCTCAGTAAGCTGTCGTTCTTTCAGTCCTCTCAATCATCTAATCACTTGATTCATGTTGTTGAACCAAAGGCACATCTAAAAGTTCCAGAATGCCAGTGTTCTATCAGACCAGCATACCCATAGTCAATACCCATTTATCCCTTTAGTTTATCCCGTTTGTTTCGTACGAAAAATAGACTTTGAACTACTTCAACAGGCGTGTATCCCTGTAGTCATGTAGAAAATTAAATAGTTTTTGTACACAACTAAAGGAATATGGTCATCTGATAGAGCACCGGCCCTTAGGAACTAGAATTGTCCACCCCTTTTATTAGGTCTTTGGGACGCAGACTATGATAACATGAGTCAGATTATTTTTTTTATTGCTGCGGATTCTTTCCATGCTTTCAAACCAAAAAAAAAAAACAAAGATTTTACTGCACTAAAATCAGAACCATTAAAAGGTCAACAGTGCATCGACCGCCATTAAAAGCACCATCGGGGAGAGAGCTGATGGCCTCTCCAGACCAGTGACAGCTGTGGCCGCGTCCCTCATATTGTCCCCAAGGGAGAAAGAAAACACCGACTTCTCCAGTTTGGACCTGAAGTGGAAGAAATCGTGTGGGTTGGGTATGTGCCTCACGTTCCCTGCTGCAAGTGAGGACGGCGTTCAGGCACATTTAACAAAGCTATGTAAACAGCTCTTGCTCGGGCAGATCACTGGTCACAGTGGACGGCTGAGAGACACCAAGACCAGGCAAACTCAAAACAACCAGCGGCAGCAAGGCGGCGAGCTGAGTGGGGAGCTGCTATCAAGATGATCAGTGGAAAACAGAAAGGTGGTCAAGTAAAATATATAAACAAACAAAAATCTGTTTATTCATAACTCTACCAGAATTTTTAACAACCTGAAAGAATGGCTCCTAAAATTAATAATCAGTCAAAATAAAGCTAAAAATGTGTAGAGAGATAATAAGTATTCACTGATGGACAGCTTAAAGTTTTCACAAACATTTGCAGGTGGCGCTACAGTACACCTGAGATGTGTAAAATGCAGCAGGACTAGAATGCGCTCAGTGCATTTAGCAACACATTTGTTAAGGGGGATTTTTGGCCCTTCTGGCAGAGATCTTTTTCTTCACTTGAGGAGAAAGAGTAATGAGTGATGTGGTCTGAAAAACAAGCTTCCACAGGAATAGAACAGAAGCAGAGATCTGCGCGGATGTGTTTGTGTGCATGCTGGAAATACGAGCTGAACCAGTTCTAGTGCAGTAAAACAAAGTATGACAATCATCTGGAACATTCACCACCTAATAATTAAACTGAACGGCAGGGGAATATTTAAAGCATCACTCTTTCACTACAGACGCATTTATTCCCTTTTTTTCCACCCCTAGTGAATCACCGATGGGAGTGTTCAGAACATGTGGGGTTTCTTATTCTTTTAAAAGGAGCTTGCAGTAAAGTAGATCATACTCTGTGCAAACAGGACCATAAAAAGCTGCATGCCATCGCTTTTGTTTAAACCACATCAAGGCAATGAGCCTGGCAGAATTCAGCCAGAAAAGTTTGTTGCGTCTGGGAGACCCTCTGCGTACGCACGACTCAAAGAGAGGGAGGGAGAATTAACAGCAGACACTCTGATAGAGATAAACACACTCATCTGTCTTATTGCAGAGCTGCTGCAGAGCGACGTAAACAGGCCGACCCGGATGACAGTGGGCTGCAAAGCTGTGACTCAGTACGTGAGGCATGCAGAGACAGTGGATCGGTTACGCTTCGCCTCGACAGCAGAATGACTGGCGTTTTTATTAGAACGTTCCACAAAAAACAAGCCCGACGAGCCCGCGACGGCTGCATGTGAAGCATTATAGGCATGAAGGGACTTTGAATCCAAATTTTAAGCTCTCTGCTTTTGCATCCAGTTCAGTTTATGATCATTGCACGATAAGCGTTATTTTCTAATAAATCGACTGATTGACTTTATTGATCTTGCAGTGGAGAAATCTACTTGTTACATCAGCTCAAATAGTCAAAGAAGAAAAATGCTGCATGGTATATACAGTACATCCACATATGACAGCTTTTTTTTAATAATGAATATATATATTAATTTATATACATTATCCTTTTATTCTGATTAATAACGTGGAGTATTAATGTTATTCTTACGAGTGACCCTCTGTCATGTCGGACAGCATGAACCATTAACTGATTGGCCGCATCATGTAGAAGCCAACATTGTAAACCCTTGATCCAGAACTATGACCCTATCTTAATACAACTAAAGCCAAGGGTGTAAGTTTGATTTCCACTTTGGTAGGGACACTACTGGTCCTAAGTTTCATTAATGTCATTTCACCTTTGTATAAATATGCATGCTTTTTTTATGCTTGACGTGAGCATCAGGGTGCATTTGGTTTAACGAGAAAAGCAGCTTTTCTTGCTACATTTCTACTAATTTTATTAGCACTACTCACACTAGATGTTGTTTATCAATATTTGAAGCGTCACCGGGTCTGATGAATTAGGACTGTTTTCCACTTTGAAAAGGTTGAATTTAAACTTACCAGTGACTAAGACAGAAGGTAAATATGTGCCTATTTAACCAAATATAGTGTAAATATGCACGTTATATGTGGATTTATCCTGTATTTTCTTTTGAAGATATATAATTGTACAGAGGTAAACAGGTGAAACACTCTTAATTTTTAAAAGCTCTCTCTGTATCATGAACCAACGCAAAATGACACATTCAAGGGACGCAAATACATTTATTGTATTTACATCTAGTGGCATCATCTACAAAAAAACAACACTAAGAATAAAAGTAAATTTATTCTAACATAAAATCACTTTTAACAATTATTAAAACATATATATAACACCATTCCATGGTGAAGGCTCATTTCAAAGGTAACAGCCAGATTAACAGCCAGATTTCTGTACAGAACAAACAATTCATTTACAGCTGAATAACTATAGAAAAGCACGGAATGGTGTTATTTCATTGGTTTTCTTTTTGATTTCAAAAATCTATTCTGTTGTTTTCCTCTGATGATGGAACAGGCTGGAGGCATGACTCAGAGTACGCTTCTACAATCCTATTTTACTCTGCTTTTCATCTAATTCATGCTCCGGGGTCGTTCACCAATCTGTACAGCTCTGCAGGAAATCCGCTGCGTTGTGGTAACCATGAGTTTCTAGATAATTTGGCAGGAAGAAACATGGCTTTCATTTCCCTGCAGACAGAAAACCATTTGACCAGCCTGATGCCATCAAAGCTGGAAGTGAAAACGAAACACGCTGCTACACCTTTACAGTTCCTAAACTGGCACTTACCTTAATAAGAAAACAATACTTGGAACTGCAACAAATAAAGTTTACCCAGATTACTATAAGAACAGAACATAAAAAAACAGTATTAAGATGTGAAACTGAATCATTTATTTGTTTTTACCCCTTTAGGCATTTAGCACATAGCTCTGCCCATTTCCTTAAAAAGTTTTATTGAAATTGATTTAACTCTCCAATTAAAGCACCCACTACACTTTCTGAAGAGTGAAATCCTAAAGCAAATCCAATCTGCTAGCAATAAAACAGCTGCTCCAGCTTCCTGCTGCGCTGCAGAAAGCAGGGAGTTGTGTTGTGGTGGACGAGGCTGGCTGGGGTTTGGATCTGCAGCCGTCCTTCCATCCATTAGCCAGCTCTGAGGATGAGCCCTCTGCTGCCTAACTCGGTGCAGCACTCAGGAGGGGAGAATCGCTTTTGGCTCGACGCCTTGGTGAGGAGGGTTGGGTGGGCCCATGCTTGATCTCTCCATTACCTCTATGTACCTTTAGGAGTTTATTTTCACGAGGGCAGATTGAAGAAAAGGTGGATGCAGAGGGAAGTTCAGGGTTTAGGAAAACAACTAAACTAAAGAAGCGGAATTTAATTATTATTGTAATAGAAAAGTGAGCAAAGTAAGAAGAGACATTAGCAAACTCCCACATACAGTCATCGCTGCATGAAGCTGTAACGGCCACATGGTTCGTATTTCAGCCAGCCAGTATGATATCTCACAAGTTTAACGCCGCACTGTATTTGCTTTAGGCGGCGACCAATGCGTGTTTTCTTTAACTGATATGTCATCAAAATAAAGGAAAGCCATCAGGCCCCGTTTGGCTTGTTGAGTGTAAACACAGGGGCCCCGAGGCTCCTGACACGCCCCTCCCTCCATCCAGCTGGGGGCCGGGGTTGGTCAGGTGCTGTTAACTTTGGCTGCAGCTCCAAAAGTCAACACAATGGCTGCTGATAAGGAAAACGGATTGGCTGGAGGGGAGTTGGGCTCAAAGGGAGGAGAAGATGGATCCTTCAAAATCCTGCTTTCCTCATGCAGACGGACAGAGAGTAAATGTTTCCCTGCAGGATCCAGAAATAAATTACTTTGTAAATAGAAGATGCTCTTCATAAAGCTACAAATCAGCACCACAAATTACAGCTGTGGCAGATGAACAGAAAAACAACTGATCTACAGCTTCTGCAGGGCACT